CTTCCCTGTGAGGGTGCTGAGGCGCTGGCACAGGGTGCCCAGAGAAGCTGTGGCTGCCCCATCCCTGGCAGTGTTCAAGGCCAGGTTGGACACAGAGGCTTGGAGCAAGCTGCTCTAGTGGAAGGGGTCCCTGCCCGTGGCAGGGGTTGGAACTGGATGGGCTTTAAGGTCCCTTCCAGCAGAAACCATTCTATCACTGTGCATGCTCCCTGCAGACGGGGAAGACAGCTACCTGGACGTGGAGGTGCAGCTGAAACGGGAGCTTGCAGGCGCCAGCCAAGGGGGTAGCAGCTTCGTGGAGTGGTGGGTGGTGCGGCTGAAGGATGCCCCTAGCAGCATCAGCAACATCCTCCCCATGGTCATCTTCAACGACAAAGTCAGCCCCCCCAGCCTGGGCTTCTTGGCTGGTTACGGGTACGTGGATGGGGATGCATGAGGGGCACAGAGCGGCTGCACCTAAGGGCAGGGGGGTTACAGGGTGCGTGCGTCCCTGTATCTTGCAGGATCATGGGGCTGTACGTCTCCATCGTGCTGGTGATCGGGAAGTTCGTGCGGGGTTTCTTCAGCGAGATCTCGCACTCCATCATGTTCGAGGAGCTGCCCTGCGTGGACCGCATCCTGAAGCTGTGCCAGGACATCTTCCTGGTGCGGGAGACGGGCGAGCTGGAGCTGGAAGAGGAGCTCTACGCCAAGCTCATCTTCCTCTACCGCTCTCCCGAGACCATGATCAAGTGGACACGGGAGAAGGAGTAAAGGGGAAGGGGCTCCAGACCTGCGCCCCTTTCCCTTCCCGAGGACATCACCACCAATGCCTTAACCAGCCCCGCACGCTAGGGCTGTATCCTGCCAGGGCACACAGTGGGACACGGGGCTTTCGGTGCTCGCTTTTAGGGGGGATGTTTTTCTTATGTTGCTTTGAAGCACCGTCTGACCTGCGGAAACCCACTCTGTGCCTTCCCAGGGAGGGGGACAGGAGCCAGACCCCCCCACCCCATGGGTACCCCTGGCTGCAGAGCAGGGGGGAGGCAGGAGCCAACCTGTGCCTCCCCACTGCTCTCCCCAACCCCGTCCAGAACCAGGTTAAACTCAAAAGCAATAGGCCCCCCAGCCCCAGGATGGGGGGCCCTCGGTTGTGGCTCTCCCCTAGCTAGGAGGGGGGGGGGCTGGCAGCCCCAGCTGGACTCTATAGACACTTACCGTGATGTTGGTTTTGTTGGTTTATTTTTTGTATTATTAATTCAAATGGTTTATTTATACAAATATCTAATAAAACAAAGCTGAGGCCTGGTGGAGTGATGCTCAGCTGGGGCGGGGGGGGTGTCCAGGGTGGGACTAGGGACCTATTGCTTTAGGGGGTTCCAGCACCCTTGCCTACCCCAAATGGGGCTGGGGGCTCTCCCTGCCCCTCAGGTGTAACCAAAATGAGGTATAAAAGCAACTACTTGGGTGCCAGCGGGGCCCAGGGGCTCCCCACCATCCTACAGGGCACCCCTGGGGGGCTGGCACCCTGCCCCACTGGTGCCCCAGAGGGATTGGGTGTCTGTGTCCCCCACTGTCCCCAGCCCTTTCAGCTCTTGCCAAGCTCCTTGTCCTCTGGTGGAACCTCCTGGTTCTGCTGCTGCATCTCGGCACTGCAGGGAATAGACACTGGATGGATGGGTGTGTGGATGGATGGATAGTGGATGGATGAATGGATGGATGGATAGTGGATGGATGTGGCATCAGGAGGGTGCTGAGATAGCAGGGAAGGGATCCCCACATCCCCATTACCTGCGGATCCTGCGCTGGGCCTCAGCACGCACGTAAGGCGGAAGCGTGGTGACAGGACCCTGTAAGAGAAGAGCTGTGGGTATGGGGACCCCTGTTCCCCAGGAAAACACCCCACTGCACACCAAAAGCCTTACCAGCTCCTTGAAGGTGAGGCGGCAGCCGTAGCACAGCAGCGGGATGTAGGCAGATTTGTGCTCAGCCCTGAAGGGACAGGGACCCTGAGTGGTGGCCCTGGTGCCAACACAGCATCCCCCCCTTGCCCCACATGCTCACCCTGCTGCCAGGGGGTCCTGGCAGCACCCATTCCTCTCCATCTCTGGCTCATCTATGATCAGCGTGGGCTCCAGGGCCAGCTCCTCCTCTACAAGAGCCAGAGGGCACAGGTGTGATCTGGGGATGCACAGTGCCCGCAACCTCCCGATCCCCCCCACTGCCCTCCCCACTCACCCCCATCGAGGTCCAGGGCACACAGGCAGAGCAGGCAGCGCTCGGACTCGCAGCTCGGCTTGGCTCGATCTGCGCTCAGCTTCTCACCCGTCCTGCAGACAACACAGGGGGGTGAGGGGTGCACCCCCTTGTCCCCCCATACCACCCCATAGTGCCCCCACAGAGGGGATGCTCTACCGGTAGATGGTGCTGATGGTGGAGGGGAAATCCTCCTGCAGCCCCATGAGGAAGTGCTCTACCACACGGCGGATGCTGGGCTTATCCCGGCGCTGCAAGGGGGGCAAACAGAGAGGGCAGGGATGGGAGAGTGGGTCCCAACCTCACCATGGGGACGTGGAGCTTGGGATCCACCCCATGCAGACCAAGGGACACCCCTACCTTGGTGGGGAGCGGCGGTGCAATGACGGTGGGGACATTGAAGAAGTGGTTGTAGAAGGCAATCTCCTTGGCCGTGTACTCCCGCAGGGGACGCACCACCATCACATCACCGTGGCGGTCGTCCTTGAAGCCCTGTGGGTGCATGGCTTGATGGGGGACCATGGCAGCACCAAGTCACAGAACCTGGGTCCACGGCGTCATCGCTCTGGGTGGGAATGGACACCCCCAGCTAGAGGACAGGGTACCAGCTGGCTGCTCACCGTGTCGACGGCAAGGAAAGCACCACGACCCAGCGCCAGGTTGGTGAGGAGCTTGATGGCCACACATGTACAGGTCTCACCGGTCATCACCTTGGTGTAGCCCTTGGTCCGGGCTGTCTGCAGGATGAGGTGGATCCTGGGGAGAATGTGACACCAGCTCAGAGCCACCGCGCCGTGCCCGGTGCTGGGTCCGGGCAGGATAAGCCACTCACCTCAGCATCTGCAGCAGCTCCTCTTTTGCTGTCAGTGTCTGCACAGCCTCAAAGACTTTCAGCAGCTCCTGGGTGAGGGCAGCAGCAGGCAGGCGGGGGGCAGCCGGGGGACCCTCCGGTGACTCCCCACTGCCAGGGCCAGGCGGCGAGGTGCCACTGTCCTTGTCCCCGTACCGCTTCTGCCGCTGCTGCTGGATGAAGCCCTCCACAGCCTCCTTATAGGACACACTGGGCTCACTGGGTGTCACCGGCCCAGGGCGCAGGATGGATGCGGGCAGCTCCAGCGCCTATGGGGCAGAGATGGACACTGGGAGGGTGGTATGGGGATAGCCAAGCATACCCCTTTACTCCAGCGTGTGTGTCCCTCACCACCCATGTACCTGCTCCAAGTGCACCAGGTAGTAGGGGAAGCCGGTTGCCTGCAGCAGGGTCTCCATGCAGGCCAAGCTCTGCTCCCGCTGTGCCGGGCTCTGCCCACGCACCGCTCCCTCTGCAAGGCAAGTGGGCACCACCAGTGAGGAGAGGAGGGGGCACCCATCCCATCCCTGGGGGACCACAGCCCCCAGCCCTGGGGGACCCTGTACTGGGAGTGGGGGTAACCCCTACCATCAACGTAGACGACACCAGGGATGAAGCGGAGCTTCTTGGCTGTCTCCCGGCTGAGCCCCTGGCAAAGGCACAGGGTAAGGTGGGTGCTTGAGTTGTGCCCCCCTCCCCAGACCCTCTCATCACCCCCATTCTCACCTCCTGGACCTGCCGGAGCATGGCACTGGAGGCTGGGCCCCCTGACACCGCCAGCAGCACCTATGGGGACATGAGGGATGGTCACCGGTGCTGCTGCCACCGCTCAGGTCAGCCCCACACGTGTGCACCCCCATCGGTACCTTCTCTCCCGGGAAGATGATGCGGTTCTTGCCCAGCATCGCGCGGAACTTGTGCACGAAGTACTCGTGGAAGCAGTTGCTGCAGGGACGCAGCCCTAAGCCATGGCGTGTTCCACAGCCCCCAGGTCCCCCAGCCCCAAGGCCCCTGTCTCCAAGCCTTGATGTCCCAGAGATCCAATGTTCCCAAGCCCAGACTTCCCAGAGAGTCAGTGCCCGCAGTCACTGATACCCCAGAGACCCAATGTTTCCAAGCCCCAAATCCCAGAGACCCGAAGTCCTCAACCATTGATATCCTCGAGATGCAATGTCCCCAAGCCCCAACATCCCACACACCAAACATCCCCAAGCCTCGATGTCCCAAACACCTGAGCTCCCCGACTTCTAACGTCCCAGGGACCCAACGTCCCCAAGCTCCAACACACCCAAGCCTTGCTGCCCCAAAGAACTGATGTCCCCAACCCTCAACATCCCAGAGACCCGATGCCCCCAACCATTAACGCCTCACACACCTCACGTCCCAAGCCCCGATGTCCCCATCCCCGCATCCCCGCACACGGCAGCCCCTCACCGGCAGAAGGGGTCCCCGACGCGGATGATGAGTACGGCGGAGCCCTCCCCGCACTTCATGCAGGTCCGCGGGTGGCTGCGGGGACACGGCCGGTAACGGCAGCACCGGGGACACCGCACCCCGGGGGCGGCAGCGATCCCGCTACCGGGGACGTTACCAGGGGGATAGGGAGGGGGTGAGCACCAGGGGGCAGCACGGGGTGGGGTGTGTGGGGGGGCACTATGGTACCGGTGGGGGGGACACGGAAGGGGTACCGGGGATAACACCGGCTCGCGGACCGCGCTCCCACCTCTGTCCCTCGCCCCGACGGCGCCGCGCCGGCCCCATGCCCGCTCCGCACCCGCCGCCGTCCCCCGCCGCCTCGCACATGGTCCCGGCCCGTCCCGTCCCGTCCGGTCCGGTCCCGTCCCACCCGTCGTGGCGCACGGCGATGACGCAGCAGCGCGCGCCGCTGGCCCCGGTTCCGTCCCCGCCTCCCCGCCGCCGCCGCCATGTTCCGGAGCCTGCTGGTGGCGGCGGCGCAGCGGCCTCAGGCCCCGGGCGGGTCCCCGCGGCCGCCCCCCGGCCCCGGCCCCGCGGGCGAGGCGCTGGAGGCTCAGTTCAGCTGCCCCATCTGCCTCGAGGTGTTCCACCGCGCCGTCGGCATCGCGGGATGCGGACACACGTGAGCCGGGGCCCGGGGCGGCGGCGGCGGCGGGGACACCGGCCCGGCCCGACCCAGAGCCCGCTTGGCGCTCCCCCAGCGCACCGGGGCCTCTGTCCCGTGACCCGGCCGGCACCGGTCCCGTCCCGGTACCGGGATCCCCCCCCATCCCCACCCCGTACCCGCGGTCCGGTACCGGTGTCCCCATGCCACCGCCCCATCCCGGTACGGTGACCTCCATCAGCTGATGCCTATCCCCCCTACCAGCCTGCTGGGGGGACCCTCATTGTTCCTTCTCCATTCAGCCCGGTACCGGTACCCCCCATCTCCCCCACAGCCCGGTACCGGTACCCTCCATCTCCCCCACAGCCCGGTACCGGTACCCTCCATCTCCCCCACAGCCCGGTACCGGTACCCTCCATCTCCCCTACAGCCCGGTACCGGTACCCTCCATCTCCCCTGCAGCCCGGTACCGGTACCCTCCATCTCCCCCACAGCCCGGTACCGGTACCCTCCATCTCCCCTACAGCCCGGTACCGGTACCCTCCATCTCCCCTGCAGCCCGGTACCGGTACCCTCCATCTCCCCCACAGCCCGGTACCGGTACCCTCCATCTCCCCTACAGCCTGGTACCGGTACCTTCCATCTCCCCCACAGCCCGGTACCGGTACCCTCCATCTCCCCTACAGCCCGGTACCGGTACCCTCCATCTCCCCCACAGCCCGGTACCGGGGCCCCCAGCAGCTCCATCAGCACCGCGTGCCTTGCCCCCATCCTGAAGCCCGTTTCCCCCCTGGGGAGCTGGGTGCTGCCTTGTTCCCCCACTGTGTGCACCCGAGGGTCTTAACTCCGTTGATCACCTGAACCTTGCCCCTCTGTGCCCACACCTGGTTCATGCCCCCAGTGTCAGCCCGGGTCTAACCCGATGGGAATCCTGCCCTGACCCCACAGGTGCTGTGCACCGTTCCCATTGCCCCCGGTACATGGTGAAGGGCTGAAGCGCTGCCTTGGGGAGCAGGGGTCTGCTTGTCCCCCTTTCCCATCCTGTTCCTCGCTCTTCCCCCCATCTCCAGCACATTTGGGGCTGGGGGTGCTTCCTGGGGTGATGGCAGTGGCATGGGGCAAGGGGCACTGTGGCTGTCCCTCAGCAGGGGCTCGGCAGCGGCATTTCATTCCCCCGTTGTGGGTGATGTGAGCTGGGCTGGCAGCGGAGGGGATGGGGATGCCGTGACCATTGACTTTGTGGAGACGGAGCTGCTTTGCCTTGTGCCTGGGGGTCCCTTTCTGTGCTTCCTCTCCACTGCTTTGATTTCTCATCCCTGCTGCTGCAGGCATAAGGACCTTGAAAGGAGGTGAACTGGGCTCTGATGTGCTCACTGCCTTTATTCCTGCATGGCCTCAATGCTCAGCACCAGTTGTTGTTTGGCTCTGTTCAAATCCACTCCCAGCCTCAGGTCTCAGTGCCTCAGCAGTGCCTGCCCCCTCCTGCACCCTGTCCCAGGCTCCCAGTTCTCCCATTGGAGATGCTGATCCCTGAGGTTTGGGGCTGCTCTGCAGCCTGGGGTGTCCTGGGGCTGGGGTCCCCCTTCTCCTCCCTACATCAGGTTGCTGAGTGTCACTCTCTGTGCCCCCAGATTTTGTGGGGAGTGCCTGCAGCCCTGCCTGCAAGTGCCATCCCCTCTGTGCCCGCTCTGCCGCATGCCCTTCGATCCCAAGAAGGTGGAGAAGGCTTCCAGTGTGGAGAAACAGCTTTCGTCCTACAAGGCTCCCTGCAGAGGCTGCAGCAAGAAGGTAAAGCTCATGGGGGAAGGCTGCTCGTACCCATCCTACTGCCTGTCCCATGGCCGGAGGTCACTTGCTGTTGGTGGTTGGGATTGTGGGGGCCTCTGTTTGGAGTGTCCCCTCTTCAGTGTGGCCCCACATTGTGCCCATGAGGTCCCCTACGTGTCACTGCTGCTGCCATGAGCCAGGCAAGCGGGGCTGTGTGGAGATGAAGGCACTCTCTCCTAGCTGCCTTTGTCAGCAGACTGGAGCTATTATTAGACAGTGGGGACCTTCAAAAGCAGGCTGAGGTTTTCCTGCAACACAGGAGAGGCTGAGGCCAAACCAGCTCTGCTCCAAATGAGGGTAAGGATTTAGCTCTTGCTTAAGGTGCTGCAATCTCAGTGGCTGTGGGGAAGCTGAACCAGCAGCATGTCCTGGCCCTGCCTGGGGCAGTCTGGTCTGGGACGCTCCAGGACTGGCTAAAAAGCTATGATTCATGGTGTGTCTCTGCTGATGTACTTCCTGGCTCCCGTTAACTTTGGGGATCTTCTTGTAACTGCCTGGCTGTGACCCAGGGACAGTCCTCTACAGTGTCAGAGCAGTGTGGGGTTTCTGCCTGTCAGCAGTGCCTCCTTTGAGAAGGAAAATGGAGCTAATGTAATAACACAGCCCGGGTGGCCGTGTGTGACCTCTGGGGATATGTGCAGTGAGCACGTGGCCCCAAATCTCTGTCCTGCAAAGAAGAACGTGCTGGTGCAGCGTTTCCATGCTGGTGTGGGTCATCCTGCACAGCCCGGTGTTTGCCCTGGTTGGCCAAAACTGCTGTCCTGAGCTGTGGCAGAAGCTCCAGCACTGTCTGGAAGCTGACAGGAACATCTCTTCTCTCCTTGTGCTCCAGGTGACCCTCGCAAAGATGCGCTCTCACATCTCATCCTGCACGAAAGTGCAGGAGCAGATGGCCAACTGCCCCAAGTTCGTTCCGGTTGTCCCCACATCCCAGCCTATTCCCAGGTACTGCCATGTGTTGGGTAAGGAAACACGTCCCTCCTTGTTGGGCTGCACTGTCACTCTGGTCCCTTACAAGCCCTAAAATCCAAACGTGGGTTTTACTTTCCTCTGGGAAACCAGAGGGAGAAACATCAGCACCGTTTCCCTCCTGTCACCTGCAGGCCCTGTCTGCACTGTATTTCAGAGTGTGGAGTGGGAGGAAGGACCGAGCAAACCAGGGTGGTTCAGCCTGCAACTGGGGTGGGAACGGGCTGGGCTGGTTTCTGCTATGCCTGGATATCACAGTGGGGGTGGCTGGCTTAGTTTGGAAGGAGTCAATGCAGTCCTTTCCTGGGGGATCTGAGCTCGCCCTGGCTCTCTTTAGCAACATTCCCAATCGCTCGACGTTTGTGTGCCCGTACTGTGGGGCCCGGAACCTGGACCAGCAGGAGCTGGTGAAGCACTGCATGGAGAACCACCGCAACGACCCTAACAAAGTGGTGAGTGATGCTGGGAGGGGTTGGTTCTGTGCGGGGTAGCTCCTGGAAATCCAAATACGCCGTAGCTGATGCTGCATCCGAGGCCACCGGCATGCAGAGCTGTGTTTTCCAGCTGGATTAGTTTGTTTTAGATCCCTTTGATGAGAGGTGGGGACCTGCCCCTGTTTGTTTTGTTAAGAGGCTTTCTAGGATGAGCTGCCTCCATCCCCATGTGCTATCAACCTGGGTGGTGCTGGATTTCCTCTCCCCATCTGGGTTGACCACACTGGGTTGACCAGGGCAGGGAACTTGCAGCTTTATCGCTGTCTCAGAGGTGCTCACATGTGTGTGTAACTTGTCAGTGGCCTAAAAGCAGGCTGAGCCATGGGCCAGAGGCTCTGTCCACCAAGAGATCTGCTTGGGGGGGGTGAGGGACCCCCGTTTTAGCACATCCTCTGCAGATCCCACTCTGTCAGAAACAGCGGGAGCGCTGCTCCCCTCTTCAGGAGATAAGAGATGGAAGGGTCTGTGCCTATTAGTCATGGTTCTCTTTTGTCCCTGCCTTCTGCAGGTGTGCCCGGTCTGCTCAGCCATGCCTTGGGGGGACCCCAGCTACAAGAGCGCCAACTTCCTCCAGCACCTCCTTCACAGGCACAAGTTCTCCTATGACACCTTCGTGGTGAGTACCTCAGCTGAAATGGGGTCATCTTCCCCCAGCCTGGAGGGGAAGGGGGCAGATCCTCCTTTAGGCTTTGTGGGAGGCACATGTATAGCCTCTCTCAGGAGACCCTCACAGCTGTGGGGCTGAGCTCCCCCTCTGCTCTTGAGAGAACTCAAGCTGATCCTCATCAGACACACCAGGAAAACCTCTCTGAAGGAGGAGGAAAAAGTTACTGCACCATGAACATGTGCTGTTTCCTCCATGCACTCCATTAAACTCATCCCCTGAGGAGCTGTAACACAAAGGCCTTTTCTTTGAGGCTTCACAAGCAGTGGGAAGGGAACAGTACAGGCTTGGGGGGATCTGGCTGCTGTAGGTGAGCGGTGTCCATGGATCCCCTCTTGGGGAGCTGCTGACCATTCCTGAGTGGAGAGGGGGGGTGTGATTGCCCAGACCTGGCTACAGGGACTGAGGGGAGGTTTTGTCAGCATCGTACCTTTATTGCAGAGCCATTAGAAGTCAGGGAAAGGAACCTCCAAATACTTAGAGAGAAATATCCCCATTTAGGGAGCGATCACTGTGTTGTATAAACCCAAACTGGAGTGATGGAGAAACCTGTGACCCTGCTAGAAAGCTTTTCCCTTTGGGCACAGCTGCTGGCATGGGCATATTTTGTCCCTGTCCTCCACCACGTCTAAGAGCAGGGCTGGTGTTGGCAGATTCCAGGCTGGAGAGGGACTGGGGGCACAAAGGATGCCCCAAGCAGCACGGCATTCCTGGGACACACATGCTGGAGGAACGGGAAGCTCGGTGTCACCATGAAGAGCAGGGAGGGCTCCTTGGTGCTTGATGTAGAATCTGTGTCCTGGCTGTACCACTTATGACCACCCCTCTCTGATTTTAGGACTACAACATTGACGAGGAGGCAGCGTTGCAGGCAGCCCTGGCACTGTCACTGTCCGAGAACTGAGGGTGACTGGGGAGCATCGGACCCCCTTTTGCACACTCAGCCTTCCCACTGGGGAGGCACGGAGCTTATCAATCCCCTGGAGACCCGCTGCTGCTGCTCTTCCCTCTCCTCTCTGTGCACATCCCACCTTGTTTAAGAAGGTGGAGTGTCCTTATGTCGAGCTGGACCGGTGAGTGAGCAGAGACTTCATGCAGGGAGGAGAGAGGAGTCGGCACCGGAGGGATGGGACCGTTCCTCCATTAGGCATTTCATACCCATATACAGAGTATATACCTGTGTCCAGATCTATTTATTATTAGATGCTTTTTGGCACCGTTTGTCTTCATGCTCTCTGTTGCAATTGAATAGGTACGTCAAACCTGGATGCATTTAATGCAGAAATGCCCTAATTGGAACCTGCAATCATCCATGTCCTTTGTGGAAAGGAAGAAAACGACACGGAGCATCCTTTGGGTTTTGAAACTCCACAAGGTTATTGCCAGAGACATCGATCTGTCCCGTCCCCAGTGCTGCTTCCTTTGCTGCCCAGGCCAGGCTGAATCCCAGGGCAGGACAATGGGTTCGGAGGAGTCCACAGCAATGGCATCCAGTGAAACTCTCACCTTTCCCATTTTGTACCGGCTCTTGTGATACTGAGTTCTTGCGTTTTTCTACATGAATCAGCGTGATGCCTTTTCCACGTTTTATAGAGCGGGAACAGAAGCTGTTAACTCTTCACACTGCAATATCCGACACTGAGGACAAGAGTATTTTTATGGAACATTATTAAGAAAGTCTATTTTTAAAACAAAGAATACCCCAAACACACAAACACGCTGTGGGTTTGAAATCAGGTAGGAGGCAGTAGCCGGACCCCAGACTGATGTTTGTGCCTGGATGTCCTCTGGCTGTTTCTGACCCATTCCCTTCCCTTGTTGGCATGTTGTGATACAGGACACGCTGGGTCAGAGCAGCACCTCTTTGGCTGCCTCTTCAGGCTGCCTTTTTGGGGAGCTGCAGCATCACTTGTGTTCTCCAGCATCTGCTAACCATGTACAGGGCTAGTGGTCAGGCTTGGGATGGCTGAGCCCTTGCAGGCATTGCTCCGTGGCACTGCTCAGTGTGGTTTTGGTTTGTGAAGGAGCAGGCAGGTTAGTTGTGGGGTGTTGGTATTCACTATGGAGCAGCTGGACTGTGTCTGGGTGATGGGTGTGCAGGAGGGATGTCTGCCTGTGCAGGATCCTATCCCCAGCACTGGGCATCTTGTCCCCCTGAAATAGGGGATTGCATCTCCCTTCCTTGGGAACAGGGCACACATGGGCAGATGTTGATCCAAGAGATGCTCCATAGCATCCTGGTGACCTGTCCTCTTCCATGTCCCCTTCCTGTGTGCCCTCACTTCCTGCTGCTGGTGGGGTTTGCTCTGCTGGGCTGGGAGAGGGTGGAAGTGGGATCTCCACCTGCAGGCCTTGGTTGTGCTGCTGCCAGCCTGAGCATGCCCCCCTATGCAGCAGAAATCGTGTCCCTTATGAAGGGTCTTCACTGGTGCTTGGGGAGAGAAGCTTTGTGCTGGGGCCCTGCCACCTTTTGGGGTCTCACCAGTGACTGGATCAGCCCAGGGCTCTCAGTGAAGGACCTGTGATGCACGGTACCTTCCGGTGAGGGTTTGCAGGGGAGAGGTTTGGGAGAGCAGTCCCTCTGCATGTCCCTGCTTGGTTTATCCGAGGCTCCAGCTCTGCCCTAGCAATACTGTCCTGGTTTTCACCTTTGATTTGAATGGTACTGGATGGTTTGGGGGCTGTGAGTTTCCCATGCTGCCAGCAGCTCTGTGAGGAGCATGCAGACTATGGCAGGGAAAGGGCTGGAGCTGCTCTGCTCCCCTAGCAAGGAGGGATGGGGTCTTCTCTTACCAGCACTACTGGTACCTGCCCAACCAGGAACGTGGCCCTGGTGGGATGGGGAGCACTGGTATCTCCAAAGGGACCCGTGAGGGTCTCCTTGTCCCATCCCTAGCTGGGACACTCATATCCTGAAGCAGCCTCCATTGGCTCTCACTTGCAGGGAGCTCCCTGTCTCTGGGACAGCACTGTTAACCTCTTGTCTCCTTCCTTCCTTCCTCTTCCTTTCTGCCCCACAGCGCCAGAGCCGGGGTGAAAGAGCTGCTTTTGTAAAGCACTTTAAGGCGCAGGCAGGCACTGCACGGGCAGCTCCTGCCTCTCCCCACGGGGTGCTCTCCGGCCGGGATGTGCCGGGAATGCCGCCGTGGTTCGTCCATGTGTTCCCCGTGACTTTTTGCATATCCAGAACTTTTACTGTTTTTTGATGAAGAATCAGATCAATAATGTATTTGTAGCAAACCATTTTTCTCAATAAAGGCAGTTTCATCCATGCCTGGTCTCCCTTGTGCCATCAGTGCTGTGTCTTTGGGATGCGGGATGGAACCATGGGGTGCATGCCCCCAATCCTGGCTTCTCGGGCTTCTCCTTTCCCAAACACAGGGCTTGGGTTTGCAGCTTTGTCCTTATCTTATCATCTCCTCCTGTTAATAGCGATGCTGTTTGATCCCAGAGCCAGGCACTGCCAAACCTGGTGTGGGGATCCCCCCATCACATCCCAGCTCTGTGTCCTGCCATCCCTGGCACTCGAAGACGGGACATGGGGAGGGCGCTTGGCACCATGTCCTGTCCCTGGAGCCGCACTGGGCACTGGCCAGGGGACCACGTCGGGTGTTCCTTCCCCGGGTATCCCAGGGAGGTGTCCTGGCTCCGAGCCCCATCGGGGTTCTCCAGGGACATGGGCTGGCTCTGCACAGCCAATCCCTGCAGTGAGGAGAGACCGATCCAGGGAGCAGCCGCTGGTGTCCCTTTGGAGCGGTACAGGGTTCACCCTTGTCCCAGGGCTCCTGTTGCCCCAAGTGTAAGTCTTGGGGACACGATGGCCAGGGCTCATCACACTGAGGAACCCCCTTATCTGCCCCCTGAACAGCCCCTGTGAGGCCTTCCAGGGCCAGGAGGGCATGGCAGCAGAGGGGACGGATGTGTGGCCATGCAATGGTGGGCACCACCACCACCGTGTCTGCCTGTGCCTGCAGGGAGAAGGGGTGCTGAGGGTCCCAATGAGCTGAGGGTCTGCTCCGTCCTCACCTACCTCACTCCATGGGGACGCTACAGGCAGTGGGATCCCATTTGTGGTGGCAGCACTTGGGGACACGACTGTCCCCAGCGCTGTCCCTTACACCTGCAAGTAGCTGGCCCAGTGCTAATGAGCCCTGGGTCCTTATGGAACCTACTGGTGCCTGCAGGGACACAACAGAGGGACACAGAGTGGGGACACATGAGCAGAGGAAACGTGTTCCCTATTGCTGGCACGGCTTTTCCTCTTCAGCCAGCACCGTGTCCCACCAGCCCTGGGACAGGATCCAGCTGGAATCTCACTGCCAGACCCTCTATGTGTTCTGTAGAGCATCTTCCTCCTGTCCTGCATCCCCACAGCTCCCAGCCCAGAGGGGGATTACAGCAGGGCCCCTAAAAAGAACCCTGGTGCCATTCTGGGGTCTGGCCTGGCCAAATGGGGCTGGGATGGCAGAGATGGTGGGGACAAGGACATCCTGCAAGTGGCCCTGAGCATCCCTATGGCATGGCCAGTGTCTGGATGATGACAGTGGGACTGTCCCCACCGCAGGGGTCCCAGTGCCATCCCTATGACCCCCAGTACATGGTGGTGGGGACCCTTGTGCCAGGGCATGGAGGGGGGGACAGGCTGGATGAGGTGGGTGCCAGAGGAAGCTGCTTTGTGCATCCCTGCTGCTAAATCGGGTCCCGCAGCTGAGGGGAAAGAATCCCACATCCCGGAATAGCTGCGTGCCGAGTCCTCCACTCCCACCCATGGAAAATGCCTATAAATACCGGGGTGTGGGGCCAGGGACCCCTGCCCTGCCACCGAGGGAGCACCACAGTGTCACCCACATCCCCCCCAACACCCGGAGCTGGGGGTATTTTATGCTGCAATGAGTGACCACAGGAGGGGGGTGACACAGGCAGTGGATCTGGGTTGGGGGGTGCCCATAGGGATGAATGGGGCCACCCAGGTGCTGCTGCGCTGAGGGCATTGGGAGCACTAAGAGGGGAATGGGAGCACTGGAAGGATGCTGGGGGCACTGGGTCCATTGGAGGGGCACTGGGGTATTGGGGTACAGCACATACTGGGAGCACTGGGGGCTGTGAAGGTGCTGGGGGCACTGGAGGCACTGGGATCCTGAAGGCTCTGGGAGCACCGGGGAAGCACTGGGGATATTGGGAACATTGGGATGGGATGTGGTGTAGCGGTATTGGGGGCACTGGAGACACTGAGCCAGTGCTGGGATAACTGGGAGAGCTGGGGCATCAGGGACAGTGGAGGTAATGAGAGAGCAGGGAACACTGTAGTAGCACTGGAAAACTGGGGTTTGGAGTTTTGGGAGCACTGGGAACACTGGAGGGATAGGGAACACTGGGGGCACTGGGGACAACGGCAGTACTGGGGGGCACTGGGGGCACTGGGAGCACTGGGGGCAATGTGAGTACTGGGAGCACTGGGGGCACTGGGAGCACTCAGGGGCACTGGAGCACTGGAAGCATTGGGGGACACTGGGAGCGCTGGGGACACTGGGGGCACTGGGGAACACTAGGAGGCACTGGTAGTACTAGGGGCACGGGGGCACTGGGAGCACTGGGGGCACTGGGGAGCATTGGGGGCACTGCGGGGCACTGGAAGCCCTGGGAGCACGGGGGGCACTGGGAGGGGCACTGAAAGCACTGGAGGGGGGGCACTGGAAGCACTGGAAGCACTGGGAACACTGGGGGCACTGGGGTGCACTGGAAGCACTGGGAGTACTGGGAGCACTGGGGACACTGGGAGCACTGGGGGCACTGAGGGCGCTGGAGGCACTGGGAGCACTGGGAGCACTGGGGGCCCTGGAAGCACTGGAAGCACTGAGAGCACTGGGGGACACTGGGAGCGCTGGGGGCACTGGGAAGCACTAGGGGGCACTGGTAGTACTAGGGGCACTGGGAGCACTGGGGGCAATAGGGGCACTGGGGTGCGCTGGGAACACTGGGGGCACTGGGAGCACTGGGGGCACTGGGGGGCATTGGGGGCACTGAGGGCACTGAGGGGCACTGGAAGCACTGCGAGCACTGGGGGTTACTTGGAGCACTGGAAGCACTGGGGGGCACTGGGAGGGGTACTGGAAGCACTGGGGGGGCACTGGAAGCACTGGGAGCACTGGGAGCACTGGAAGCACTGGGAGCACTGGGGGCACTGGAAGCACTGAGAGCACTGGGGGCACTGGGGGCACTGGGGGCACTGGGGAGCACTAGGGGGCACTGGTAGTACTAGGGGCACTGGGAGCACTGGGGGCAATGGGGGCACTAGGGTGCGCTGGGAACACTGGGGGCACTGGGAGCACTGGGGGCACTGGGGGGCATTGGGGGCACTGAGGGCACTGAGGGGCACTGGAAGCACTGCGAGCACTGGGGGGTACTTGGAGCACTGGAAGCACTGGGGGGCACTGGGAGGGGTACTGGAAGCACTGGGGGTGGACACTGGAAGCACTGAGAGCACTGGGGGCACTGGGAGCACTGGGGGCACTGGGGACACTGGGATCACTCGGGGCGCTGGAGGCACTGGGAGCACTGGGGGCACTGGAAGCACTGGGAGCACTGGGGACACTGGGATCACTGGGGCGCTGGAGGCACTGGGAGCACTGGGAGCACTGGGGGCGCTGGGAGCACTGGGAGCACTGGGGGCACTGGGAGCACTGGGAGCACTGGAAGCACTGGGAACACTGGGGACACTGGGAGCACTGGGGCGCTGGAGGCACTGGGAGCACTGGGGGCGCTGGGGGCACTGGGAGCACTGGGAGCGCTGGGGGCACTGGGAGCACTGGGGGCACTGGAAGCACTGGGAGCACTGGGGGACACTGGGAGCGCTGGGAACACTGGGGGCACTGGGAAGCACTAGGGGGCACTGGTACTATTAGGGGCACTGGGAGCACTGGGGGCAATGGGGGCACTGGGGTGCGCTGGGAACACTGGGGGCACTGAGGGGCATTGGGGGCACTGAGGGGCACTGGAAGCACTGCGAGCACTGGGGGGTAATTGGAGCACTGGAAGCACTGGATGGCACTGGAAGCACTGGTGGGCACTGGATGGCACTGGAAGCAGTGGGGGCACTGGAAGCACTGGGAGCACTTGGGGGCACTGGAAGCACTGGTGGGCACTGGATGGCACTGGGAGCACTGGAAGCACTGGATGACACTGGGAGCACTAGGGGGCACTGGGAGCACCTGGGGCAATGGGGGCAATGGGAGCACTGGGAGCACTGGAAGCACTGGGGGCAATGGGGGCACTGGGAGCACTGGAAGCACTGGGGGCAATGGGGGCACTGGGAGCACTGGAAGCACTGGATGACACTGGAAGCACTGGAAACACTGGGGGGCACTGGTGGCACTGGGAGCACTGGAAGCACTGGATGACACTGGGAGCACTGAGAGCACTGGGGGCAATGGGGGCACTGGGAGCCCTGGAAGCACTGGATGGCACTGGAAGCACTGGAAACACTGGGGGGCACTGGTGGCACTGGGAGCACTGGAAGCACTGGATGACACTGGGAGCACTGAGAGCACTGGGGGCAATGGGGGCACTGGGAGCCCTGGAAGCACTGGATGGCACTGGAAGCACTGGAAACACTGGGGGGCACTGGTGGCACTGGGAGCACTGGAAGCACTGGATGACACTGGGAGCACTGAGAGCACTGGGGGCAATGGGGGCACTGGGAGCCCTGGAAGCACTGGATGGCACTGGAAGCACTGGAAACACTGGGGGGCACTGGTGGCACTGTCTCCGCACTGTCGCCACTGCGCATGCGCTGCCCGTTCCCGACTCGGAGATGGCTCCCCCCGAGCGCCGACCCCAGCGCCGGCGGAGGGGAGGGGGGCGGAGCCTCCCCGTGGTCCGATCGCTGCCATTGGATGCCAGGAGCCGGGCGCTGCGGGATCAGCCAATGGCGAGGCGGGAGCCACCCGCAGGCCACGCTGACGCGCAGGGCGCGGGGCCGGGGCTCCATGCTGCCCACAGCGTGCCCGCAGCGCCATGGCGGTGTCCGCGGTGACCTGCACGGCGCCCGTCAACATCGCCGTCATCAAGTACTGTGAGTGCCGCCCCACCGGGAACGGGACCGGGACACCCGGTGCGGGCCGGGGCGGGGGGGGTGTGTGTGTGTGTGTGTTGGAGGTGGCTGAGGTGCGGTGCCAGGCCGTCCCCCTTGTGCCGTGCGGGGCTTAGGGGTGGATGATGGCTCCCTGCAAGTGCCTGGCAGGAGGATGGAGCCAGGAGGGGCTGCGCTCTGCTGCCAGTGGGACAAGAGGAAACGGCCCCAAGCTGCACCAGGGCAGGGTTAGGTGGAGCTGAGGAACAATTCCTGCCCCAGAGGGTGCGCAGGCATCGGAACAGGCTGCCCAGGGCAGGGCTGCAGTCAGCGTCCCTGGAGACGAGGCCTCAGTGTCGTGGGTTGGTGGGATAATGTTTGGGGTCGATGGTGTCAAAGTCCTTCCAGACCCTGCGCATCCTATGCCATGCTGAATGATGTGGTGCTGTACCTACCTGTGCTGAGCTGTGCCGTGCCGTGCGCTCTCTTGCAGGGGGCAAGCGGGACAATGACCTCATCCTGCCCATCAACTCCTCCCTGAGCGTCACGCTGCACCAGGACCAGGTTGGGATGGGGTCAGGACCAGGCTCAGGCCCCTCTGTCCCCCCATCCCATGCAGGGGTTGGGGGGGGGGGGTGTGGACCCTCCGACTGCACTGACCCCCATTTCCCTGCAGCTCAAGACCACCACCACGGCCGCTGCAAGCCGGGACTTCACGGAGGACCGGCTATGGCTGAACGGGGAGGAGGCGGATGTGGGGCACCCCCGGCTGCAGGCCTGCCTGCGGGAGGGTGAGTGTCCCCCATCCCATCCCATCCACCGGGAAGCGCTGCTCCCCATTGCATCCCCAGTTCCTCCCTGTATCCCTCACAGTGCGGCGCCTGGCCCGAAAGCGCCGGGGCAGCAGCACGGAGGACACGGCCGCGCTCAGCCTCTCCTACAAGGTCCACATCGCCACCGAGAACAACTTCCCCACCGCAGCCGGTTTGGCATCCTCCGCTGCCGGCTACGCCTGCCTGGGTGGGTGAGCCGGGACACGGGGGACACCGCATCCCAGGCCTGTCCCCACCATCCTGACCCCGTCCCCGTCCCCGCAGTGTCCACGCTGGCGCGGCTGTACGGCGTGGAGGGCGAGCTGTCGGAGGTGGCACGGCGTGGCTCGGGCAGTGCTTGCCGCAGCATGCTGGGGGGCTTCGTGCAGTGGCAGCGGGGCGAGCGGCCGGACGGCAGGGACAGCATCGCGCAGCAAGTGGCCCCCGAAACGCACTGGCCCGAGCTCAGGGTCCTCGTCCTGGTGGTGAGGGGCTGGGGACGGGGTGTGTGGCTGTAACCATCACCCACTGGCGATGGTGATGGAGCACCCCAACACTATGTGGGTGCTGACCCTGGGGATCAGGGGGTGCCCCCTTGCTGAGGATGGGGGATCAGGGGATGCCCCTTGTTGGGGCTTGGGGATCAGGGGATGCCCCTTGTTGGGGCTTGGGGATCAGGGGATGCTCCTTTCTGGGGCTGAGGGGATCAGGGGGTGCCCCTTGTTGGGGCTTGGGGATCAGGGGATGCTCCTTTCTGGGGCTGGGGGTATCAGGGGGTGCCCCTTGCTAGGGATGGGGATCAGGGAGTGCCCCCTGTTTGGGCTTGGGGATCAGGGGGTGTCTTTTTCTGGGGCTGGGGGGATCAGGGGGTGCCCCTTGCTGGGGATGGGTGATCACGGGTGACTCTTGCTGGGGATGGGTGGATCAGGGGATGCTCCTTGCTGGGGCTGGGGTATCAGGGAATGCCCGTTGCTGGGGATGGGAGCTCATGGGGGGTGTTATATCCCATTGTCTGTGCCCCCCCCCAGGTCAGTGGTGAGAAGAAGCAGGTTGGCAGCACAGCAGGGATGCAGACCAGCGTGGACACCAGCCCCTTGCTGAAGGTAGGGAGCTCAATCCTGTCCAGCACAGCTGCCTGCAGGCAGGGTTTGGGGTCCTGGTTCCCTTAGGATGGTATTTCTCCATCCTTGGGAGCACTGAGGGAGCATGGGGGATGTTGCGTGAACCCCACAGGGTGATGTGGGTGCTGTGGGTGTCACCAAACTGAGGTGACCACGGCTCCAATCACGGCAGCACCGTGCAGAGGTGGTGGTGCCGGAGCGCCTGGCCCTGATGGTGCGGCACATCCGTGAGCGGGACTTTGAGGGCTTTGGGAAGCTCACCATGCAGGACAGCAACCAGTTCCACGCCACCTGCCTCGACACCTTCCCCCCCATCTTCTACCTCAATGACATCTCACGGAACATCATCGCCTTAGCGCACCGCTTCAATGCCCACCACGGGTGCACCAAGGTACCCACGCCGCCCCCATGGGGCTCTGGGTGTGCTCTGGTGCTGTGGTCCCTCACCCCACGTTGGGTCTCATCTCACCACAGGTAGCATACACCTTTGATGCCGGCCCCAACGCCGTCATCTTCATGCTGGCCGACACCGTGGCTGAGTTCGTGGAGGTGGTGAGACGCAGCTTCCCCCCCTCCACCAACGGGGACCAGTAAGGGCGATGCCGTGGCTCACTGTGGGGCGCAGGGTGGTGGGGCTGTGGCAGGGGCTGACGGCTCCGCTGTGCCGCAGGTTTGTGCGTGGGCTCCCTGTGAGCTCGGCCTCGCTGCCAGAGGAGCTGCTCGCAGCCGTGGTGGCTGAGCCGGTGCCGGGGGCTGTCCGGTACATCCTGCACACCAAGGTATGGGGCTGGGGGGAGCATGGGGCAGGGGAGCCCGTCTGCCCATCACCAGGGCTGGGTATGGGACCCCATCCGCATCCGCACCCCCGGGGTTGTGCATGAGACCCCATCTGTGGCCCCAGGGGTCTGTGTGTGACCCTGATCCTGTCCCCAGGGGTGTATAGGACCCTATTTCCATCTCTGGGTTATGTGAGACCCCATCCCCAGGAGCTCTGCAAGACTCTTGTCTCCAGGGATGCACCTGACACCATCCCTGTCCTCAAGAGTCCACAGGACCCCATTCACATCCCCAGGGGTGTATGTGTGACCCCATCCCTGTCACCAGGGGTGTACAGGACTCTGTCCCTGTCTCCATGGGGTTATGTGAGACCCCATCTGTGTCCCCATCCACAGGGGTGTCTGCAGGACCCTGTCTCCAGGGGTGTATGTGTGACCACATCCCTGTCCCCCAGGGTGTACAGGACCCTATCCCATCCCCAGAGTTGTGTGCGGAGTCCCACCCCTGTTCCCAAGAGTGCACAGGACCCTGTTCCCCTTCCCATCCTGGTGAGGGGGTGTGAGAGCTTGTCCCCATCCGCAAGGTTGTGCATGAGCTGCTATCCCCATCCCCAGGGGTACAGAGAACCCCATTCCCATCCCTGTCCCCATCCTGAGGGTTGTGTGTGGGACCCTATCCCTGTCCCCCATCCTTAGACATGTTCCCATGAGCATGACCCGTTGGGGTGCCCTTTTGAGGTCTGTGGGGCCCAGAGCTGCCCCCCAGCCCCAAAGGGCTGCCCTGCAGGCAGCGGAGCTCCCTGGTGCCCGTAACCCATCTCCTGCCCCACAGCCTGGCCCCGGACCCCAGTTCCTGGATGACCCCAGCCAGCACCTCCTGGGAGCAGATGGGCTGCCCTGCCAGACAGCCTGAGCCCGGTGACACCGCCAGGGACAACTGATGTGCCAGGGGGCTCTGCCGGTGCCACCCTGGTGCGAAGCTGTCCCCAGCCCTGGGCAGGTTGTGACCCCAGGGCTGGTTTTTACTCTTTTGTAAGGATATAAAGCTTCTGCAGTGCTGTTCTGGGGTACCCAGGCTCCACAGGTGATGCTGGGGTGGGGGACAGGAGACAGGGCTGGTTCATCCTCATGGCTCTGCCTGCCAGGCTGGGGCTGATCCTGTCTTCCCTGCACAACCTCTGTCACCCCACGTGGCCCCTGTGCTTCCCCTGTCATAGAGTCATAGAACAGAGTTGGAACATCCAGTTCCAGCCTCCCTGCCATGGGCAGGGACGCCTCACACTAAACCATGGCACCCAAGGCTCTGTCCAACCTGGCCTTGAACACTGCCAAGGACGGAGCATTCACAGCTTCCCTGGGCAACCCATTCCAGTGCCTCACCACCCTTACAGTAAAGAACTTCCTCCTTATATCCAATCTAAACTTCCTCTGTTTAAGTCTGTACCCATTCCCCCTTGTCCTGTCACTACAGTCCCTGATGAAGAGTCCCTCTCCAGCATCCTCATAGCCCCCTTCAGACACTGTAAGGCTGCTATGGAAGCCTGTCCCCCCCGTGTCCATTGTGGGGCTGTTTCTGTTCCCTTTCCCCCCCCGCTGTCCCTGCTAGGACTGACGCTGTCCTCCTGTGCCCCTTGCAGGACTGATCCTGTCTCTCAGATGTCTCTACTGGGGCTGATCCTGGCCCTCAGCATCACCCTTGTCACCCCACATGGCCCCTGTTCCCCCCAGTGACCCTCATAGGGCTGAGCCTGTCCCCTTGGACCGGAACCCCCTTCACCACCCTCATCGCCCCACATGTCCCGTGCGCGACCCCTGTGTCCCGGTGTGACCCCTGCGTAGGGGGCTGGAGCGGGTCTCTATGGGGGCGTGGCCTACGAGGGGGGGCGTGGCTTCCGGGAAGGGGCGTGGCCGGCGCTGGTTGCGCATCATCCTTCCTGGTCGGGCCGCGCCGAACCGAGCCGAAGCGAATCGGAGGGGGGGGACCCGAAGCGGGCCGAGCGCAGCCGAAGGGGCTCGGGGGAGCCATGGGGCAGATCGAGTGGGCCATGTGGGCCAACGAGCAGGCACTGGCGGCGGGGCTCAGTGAGTGCCGGGGGGGGGGGAGCAGGGGATGGGGGTGCAGAGTTTGGGGGTGCAGAGGGGCTGGGATGTAGGGTTTAGGGGTGCAGGGACACGGCTTGGGGTGCAGAGGGGTTGGGATGTAGGGTTTAGGGGTGCAGGGACACGGCTTGGGGTGCAGAGGGGCTGGGATGCAGGGCTTGGGGTGCAGGGACACGGCTTGGGGTGCAGAGGGGCTGGGATGTAGGGTTTAGGGGTGCAGGGACACGGCTTGGGGTGCAGAGGGGTTGGGATGTAGGGTTTAGGGGTGCAGGGGCAGGGTTTGTGGGGTGCAGCGTCTGGGGGTGCAGAGGGGTGGGGCTGCAGAGCAGTGAGGGGTCGGGTAGGGGTTTGGGGGGATGCAGGGGCAGAGGGTGCAGGGTCTGGGGGTGCAGGGTTTGGGGGGTGCAGAGGAATGGGGCGTCAGGGCTAGGGTCTGGGGGTGCAGGGGCTTTTGGTCCAGGGGCGGCGCTTGGGTGCAGGGTTTGGGGGTACAGAGGGATGGGGGGTGCAGGGTTAGGGTCTGGGGGTTCCGGGGTGGTATTTGGGGGTGCAGGATTTGGGCAGTGCAGGGATAGGGGTGCAGAGGAACGGGGGGTCAGGGGTAGGGGCTGGGGGTGCAGGGGCTTTTGGTGCAGGCACACGGCTTGGGGGTGCATGGTTTGTCTGTGCAGGGTTAGGGTCTGGGGGTTCAGGCGTGGTGTTTGGGGGTGCAGGGTTTGAGGGTGCAGGGTTTGGGGATGCAGGGTTTGGGGGTGCAGGGTTTGAGGGTGCAGGGTTTGGGGATGCAGGGTTTGGGGATGCAGGGTTTGGGGGTGCAGGGTTTGAGGGTGCAGGGTTTGGGGGATGCAGGATCATTGTGAGTGTAGGGTTTGGGGGGTGCAGTGTTTGGGGGGGTGCAGGTTCAGGATTTGTGGGTGCAGGGTTTGTGGGTGCAGAATTTGGGGGTGCAGGGTTTGGGTGTGCATGGTTTGGGGTTGTGGTGTTTGGGGGTTGTGGGTGCAGGGTTTAGTGGGTGCAGGGTTTGGGGGGTGCAGGGTTTGGGGAGTGCAGGGTTTGGGGGGTTACAGGGTTTGAGGGTGCAGGTTTTGGGGATGCAGGGTTTGGGGGTGCAGGGGTTTTGGGTGCAGGGTTTGGGGGATGCAGGATCATTGTGAGTGTAGGGTTTGGGGGGTGCAGTGTTTGGGGGGTGTGGGTGCAGGATTTCTTTGGTGCAGGGTTTGGGGGTGCAGAATTTTGGGGTGCATGGTTTGGGGGTGCTTGGTTTGGTGGGTGTGGGTGTAGGGTTTTGGGGGTGCAGGGTTTGGGGGTGCAGAATTTGGGGGTGTAGGTTTTGGGGTTGCGGGGTTTGGGGGTTTTGGGTGCAGGGTTTTGGGGATGCAGGATCATTGTGAGTGTAGGGTTTGGTGGGTGCAGGGTTTTTGGGGGGCAGGATGAGGGTTTGGGGATGCAGGGATCGAGGAGCTCCGGGGGGTTTCCGGGATGGCGCAAGAGGGAGGCGGCGGGGCCGGCCGCGAAGTGCGGTCCCGTTGGGATTGCGCAGGACGGGAGCCTCCTCTTCCTCCTCGTCCCTCTCCGCTCCCTCCTCCTCCTCCTTCTCCCCCGATGCTTCCTTCCCGCACAGGGCAAGGCTCGGGGGGGGGGGGGGGGTTGGTTAACACAGCGTTCCCCTGTGATCAGCCCCATACTGGGGCCCCCCCGGTTCCCTTCCCTTCAATCCAGGGGCTCCCTGCATGCTGGGGTACAGGGACCGCAGTCCTGGATTGGGGGGGGGGCACGTCTCGGTGTGAGGGGGCTGCATCCTGGGTTTGGGAAGCCGTATCCCTGGTTGCAGGCAGTATTCCAGGTTGACGGGTTGCATCCTGGGGTAGGGGGTTGTATCCCGGATTGGGGGTGCTGTATCCCAGGTTGGGATGCCATATCCTGGATTGGGGTGCCATGTCCCAGATTGGGATGCTGTATCCCAGGTTGGGGGTGCTGTATCCCAGTTGGGGTGCTGTATCCCGGGTTGGGGGTGCTGTATCCCAGGTTGGGATGCCATATCCGGGATTGGAGTGCCATGTCCCAGATTGGGATGCTGTATCCCAGGTTGGGGGTGCTGTATCCCAGTTGGGGTGCTGTATCCCGGGTTGGGGGTGCTGTATCCCAGGTTGGGATGCCATATCCGGGATTGGAGTGCCATGTCCCAGATTGGGATGCTGTATCCCGGGTTGGGGGAGCTGTATCCCAGGTTGGGATGCCATATCCTGGATTGGGGTGCTGTATCCCGGGTTGGGGGTGCTGTGTTCCATGTTGGGATGCTGTATCCTTGTTTGGGGTGCTATATTCTGGGTTGGGGTGCTGTACCCTGGGTTGGGTTCCCTTATTCTGAGTTGGGATTCCGTATCCCAGTTGGGATGCTGTGTCCCAGGTTGGGGGTGCTGTGTCCCATGTTGAGATGCTGTATCCCAGTTGGGATGCCGTGTCCTGGGTTGGGGGTGCTGTATCCCAGTTGGGATGCCGTGTCCTGGGTTGGGGGTGCTGTATCCCAGTTGGGATGCCGTGTCCTGGGTTGGGGGTGCTGTATCCCAGTTGGGATGCCATGTCCCCAGCAGGGACCCACCATCCCCACTCTGCCCCACAGTCATGCTGACGGGTGGGATCGTGGCCGTGGCGGGGCAGTTCAAGGGCTGGTGCTTTGCGGCGTACGCCATGTATCCTTATGGAGAGGATGCCCGGGAGTGGGAATTCCCTGCCCCGATCAGCATGGACAGCAGGAGACACCACCCCCTGCCCAACAGTGGCCCAAGACCTTCTTTCCCTGCCCTGTTTTCCTTTGGGATTGTGCCTATGGACTCATCCTGCCCCCGAGCATCCCTTTCCTTGACCCCCCCCCAGCGCTGCAGGTGTCCTGGTCTGCCTGCTTGAGTACCCAAGGAGCAAGAGAAAGAAGGGCTCCACCATGGAGCGGTGGTAAGTGGGGTGTCCCCCCCATATCCCTGTGGTTTGGGGGTCCTGGTACCCCCCAAACACAGGGTCATGGCACCAGGATTGGGAGCGATGGGATGGGAACAGGGCTGTATCCCATGGATGGGATCCTTGGGGTATCCCATGGACAGACAGCATGGAATGGGGGTCCTTTGGATAACCCCTGAGTTCTGACCCCCCGTTGTGTCTCTGCAGTGGCCAGAGGTACCTGACAGCGGTGGTGAAGCTCTTTGGACCCCTCACAAGGAACTACTACATCCGAGCCGTCCTGCACGCCGCGTAAGTGGGGTATGGGGTCAGGATCGGGGTGCAGCCCCCGATCAGCCCCTTCCAACCCATCCAATGTCCACACACAGCCTGGCCGTCCCCGCCGGCTTCCTCCTCTCCACCATCCTGGGCACCGTCTGCTTGGGCATCGCCAGTGCCATCTACCTGCTGGTGAGTGCAGAGGGGACGGGGGGGGGGGGCAGGTTTATGGGGAGGGGGTGTCCCATTGAAGGAGCCTCATTCCCAACGTGTCCCCCACCTCCGTCCTCGCAGGCCGCGGTGCGTGGGGAGGAGTGGAGCCCCATTGAGCAGCAGCCCCGGGAGCGGCCGCACGTGTGGAGCACCATCAAGCAGCCCCCCAACAACCCCCCGCCACGGCCCCCCCAAGACACCCGCAGGAAGCAGCCGGCGGAGGGGGGGGGTCAGGTGAACCCCATCCCAGTGGAGGCTGAGTGATGGATGGGGACCCCCTCCTGATGCTGCTGCTGCTGCTGCTGCTCGTGCTCCTGCTTCCCAGTGTACTGCAGCTGCTGGGGGGGGAATGGGGTGCTAGGCTCACGGGGATCTTCAAATCCACAGGGATGATCGGGTCCTGGGGGGGTCTCCGGGTGCCAGGGGCTCCCATCTCCTGTGTGTCCTCAAATCCCAAGGGATGCTCAGTTCCTGGGGGTCCACGGCTCCTTGGGATCCCCAAATCCGTGAGGATCATCAGTTCTCCCTGGGATTCCTGGGGAGTCCTCAGATCCACAGAGATGCTCAGCTCCTATGGGGTTTCTAGCTCTCAGGGGCTCCCATCTCCTGTAGATCCTCAAATTCCAAGAGATGCTCAGTTCAATGAGGCATCTCGAGCTTCCACAGGCTCCCCAAATCCCCAGGGATGCTCAGGTCCATGTGGGGTCTCCAGATCCCAGGGGCTGGCCATCTCCTGTGGATCCCCAAATCTCCAGGGATGCTCAGTTCAATGAGGCATCTCCAGCTTCCAGGGGCTCCCCATTTCTTGGGGATCCCCAGATCCACAGGGATGCTCAGATCCATGAGGGATCTCCAGGTCCCATAGGCTCCCCAGGTCCCCAAATCCCTGGGGATCATCAGTTCCCCCTGGGCTCCCCAGTATCCCCAAATCCCCAGTGGTGCTCAGCTCCCTGAGGGGTCCAGCTCTCCAAGCAGCCCTCATTTCTCCGGGATCCCCAGATCCCTGTGGAACACCAGCTCCCCAGGAGATCCCCATCTCCCCATGATGGGGATCAGCAGCTCCGCTCCACACCGGCTCTCGCTGCTTTTTGTCACTTGTGCAGTTGCAATAAAGGTTGGGAAAGACACCGGATGCTCCTGCTTCCCGCTCCGGAGGGGCTGTCACAGATGGGGATGGATTTGGGGGTAGGTTAGGACCGTTGAGTGGAGTTTGAGGACAAACAATGTAGTTACGGGCAAACACGGTGCAGTGTGATCCCTCCTGGGCAGAGCGACAGGGGACATGGGGGCACACACATAGTCCTGTACCACCATAAATGGACCCAGTGGTGTGGTGGATGTGAACGGTCAGACATGGGCCTGCACCCCAGAGGAGCCCCCAAAGCCTGGGGTGACCCCACTGGCAGTGGTCATTTCCCTCCCTGCCCCAGTCAGTGGCTATGAGGGTGCGATGGGGGATCGATGCTGAGACAACATGCCCCATCAGTGTGTGCTGGAGCAGCAGGTCATGGAGGGGATCCTGCCCTTCTGCTCTGCTCTATGAGACCCCAATTGCAGCACTGTGTGCAGTTCTGGTGTCCTCAGCGTAAGGAACATGGAGCTGCTGGAGCAAGGGCAGAGGAGGCCAGGAGGATGCTCAGGGGCTGCAGCACCTCCTGTATGGGGACAGGCTGAGAGCACTGGGGCTGTTCAGCCTGGAGAAGAGAAGCTGCATGGAGACCTCAGAGCAGCTTCCAGTGTCTGAAGGGGGCTATAGGGGTGCTGGGGATGGAGGGACTCTTCATTAGGGACAGGGATAGGACGAGGGGTGATGGGTTCGCCCCACAACGGGGGTGCTGCGGGTACGGGGTGTCCCCAGCAGGGGGTGCTGGGCCCGTGGGAAAGCTGTGGGTGGTGCTGCGGGCACAGGGTTGGACCCCATCCCGTCCCCCCCCCCACCCCGGGGATGGGGCTCCCCTGCATCCCCCCCCTGTGCAATGGGTGCGCTGGGGCATTACCCACCACACTGGGGCTGGGAGATGCCGAGCATCACCCCGTGAATGTGCCCCCCATAGATGAGAACGGAGCAGGGAGCATACTGAGAGTGTCGGCCTTTATTTGCAGGCTGCCAGTATTAAATAGCACACACAGAGGAGACAATAAATAGGATTTTTTTTGGGGGGGAATAAATAACCAGCGAGCCTCCGTGCAGCGCTCGCAGGGTCCGGCTGCAGGGCCATGGGCACCGTCGGGTGATGCTGGCCCTGGAGTTGCAGCCTTGGTGGGAGCATCAGCAATAAATAACAGGTTAAAAGAAGATCCCCAGCGATAAGGCTCATAAATAACATAAATAACAGGGTGAGGGGTTGAGGGGGTGCTCTAAAACAAGCACGGGTCAGGGTGGATGCGGTGACACGGTCACGCTATGGGGGCTCCACGGGAGCTTGGGGGTGGCGATGCTCAGCGCCCGGTGCGGGGCAGGACGCATGTACAGCCCACAGGCACCCTGATGTAGTCCACCTCGAAGGTGACCAGGCCGGGGCCGGCGGGACGCGGGCAGGGCTTGCGCCGCAGCACCATCATGGTCTGGTGGATGGGCACCGAGTTGAGCGACGTCGTCTCCCGGCCCGTCTTGACGTCCACGCAGCCGCTGCAGAGGCACTCGGCGAAGGCCAGCTTGCGCGGGTACCGGTCCTCGTCCTCATCGATGCTGTAGGGCGGGGGGAATGGGTGGAATCATCAGTGAGGCCCTGTGCACCCCAAGTTATCCCCTTTGACCAGGGGTAGGTGAGGCAAGCTCGAGGGAAAGTGATGCTGGTGTTCAAGGGATGCTTGAGGAGGCTGATGTTTAAGGGATGCTCAGGGAAGCTGATGCTGATGATCCAAGGGATGCTTGGGGAAACTGATGCTGGTGTTCAAGGGATGCTTGGGGAAGCTGATGTTTAAGGGATGCTTAGGGAACCTAATGTTTAAGGGATGTTTGGGGAACCTGATGTTTAGGGGATGCTTGGGGAACCTGATGCTGATGATCCAAGGGATGCTTGGGGAACCTGATGTTTAATGGATGCTCAGGAAGCCTGATGCTGATGATCCAAGGGATGCTTGGGGAAACTGATGCTGGTGTTCAAGGGATGCTTGGGGAACCTGATGTTTAAGGGATGCTCGGGGAACCTGGTGCTGATGATCCAAGGGATGCCTGGGGAAGCTGATGCTGGTGCTCAAGAGATGCCCAGGGAACCTGATGCTGATGTTTAAGGGATACTTGGGGAACCTGATGCTGATGTTCAAGGGATGCTGGAGGAAGCCGATGCTGGTGTTGCTGGAGGGACGCTCAGGAACCCGAGGCACAGCGCAATGTGGGGGTTCACTCACCGGTATCTCCACGGGGAGATGGAGCGCTCGTGGGGCTCGCTGTGCAGCCCGGTGCGCAGCTGCAGCGCGGGGCAGGCGTGCTCCCCGTGCCGGCGGTGCCGCCGGTGGCCGGGGCTGTCCTGCAGGCGCTCGAGCTGCGGTACCAACTGCACCGGGACGTAGTGGTCCCAGCGCAGGCTGCGGGCCAGCAGCGGAGCGGGGGCTTCGCCGTCGCGCAGGTCACCAGCGCTGTAGCACGGCACATGCGGATGGGGCACGGGGCGGCGCAGGCCGCGGCACAGCACCAGGGTCCACAGCAGGGCCAGGGCAGTGAGCCAGCCCTGCGGGAGAGAATGGGTCAGTGCAGGGACCCTGTGTGTGCGGGACACCCGTCACCCACCCACTGCCCCCATGGGGATGCAGCACGGAGATGAGACCCACAGCCTCCACCCCACCCTGACCCTGCCAGGGCCCCAGTGCCATGGGTTTGGATGTGCAGAGCATCAGCACGCGTGTGCTTGCACACACGTACACGCAGTGCCAGCACATGGGGGTGTGCACACACGGGGCACCTGGACATGTGTGTACACCCGCACTGCCAAGGAGCAGCTCACATGTGTGTATGCAAGTGCACACAGCTGTACATGGAACCGTGGCTACGCAGCCTGGTTGGGTGGGAAGGGACCCTAAAGCTCACCCAGCTCCAAGCCCTGCCACGGGCAGGGACCCCTTCCACTGGAGCAGCTTGCTCCAAGCCCCTGTGTCCAACCTGGCCTTGAGCCCTGCCAGGGATGGGGCAGCCACAGCTTCTCTGGGCACCCTCACAGGGAAGAGCTTCTGCCTAAGAGCTCATCTCAGTCTCCCCTCTGGCAGGTTAAAGCCATTCCCCTTGGCCTGTCCCTACATCCCTTGTCCCAAGCCCCTCTCCAGGTTTCCTGCAGCCCCTTCAGGCACTGGAGCTGCTCTAAGGTCTCCCCTTCAGGAGCCTTCTGAGGCTGAACCAGCCCAGCTCTCTCAGCCTGGCCCCAGAGCAGAGCTGCTCCAGACCTATATATGCGTGTACACAGACACACACACACATATACATTTACATACACACACACAGAACACCCTGTGTATACAAACACACAGAGTGCCAGCACACGTGTAGTTACGCACACACAGTGTCAGCACACACACAAAGATTTCAGAACACGTGTGTAAAACATACATTAGTACCCATATGCGTGTCTTCACACAGGATATACAAGCACATGCATACACATACATGCCCCGTGCTACCCTTCCATGCACATACAGATGTGTGTACACACATGCAGTGGTCTCAGCCTGTGTGCTCTGTCACCAAAAGGTCCTTTGTAAGCAGAAGCCATTGGGCTGGAGGAGCACAGGCCTCAGGCTGTGCCCTCCTGCAGCACATCTGGGCGATGGAAACCTCATCTCCTTCACTCGCATCAGAAAACCCAGCTCAGGTCACAGCTTCCTCAAGGAAAAGTTTCCTAACACCAAAGAGCTGTGCTTCCCTAACAGGCTCCTTCCACCCATGTACCCACTCAGTGGTAACAGCACACATGCATACATGCAAATACACATATGTGCAAACCAGCATGCTTACATACAACTGAATTACCCTCCTAAGCGCACATACAACCCAGTCAGAAACATGCATTTATCACCATCATATGTGCACGGACGCATACGTGCAAACACGTGTTACCAGCACATCTGCACACAGCTGCATTACAGTTCTAAGCGTGCATAGACGCACGCACGGGTCAGAACCACATGTGTTTATCACTACTGTATGTGCCTGGAGCTGTGAGCACCCTGTGCTGGGCTGCCCCTATACATGTAGAGGCACTGTGCTCCCTACATACCAACGCTGGTCAGAACCACATACATTTATCACTGTCTATATACCGTATATGTGCCCGGGGCTGTGCACACCTTACATACAGAGCACTATATTCCCCCTGCATACACATACACACATGTCTAAAAGCAGCAGCCACCAGCCAATGTCCAGGCACACACTTCACGTGTGTGTTCACACATGCAACAAACCACAGATCCCTTAACACACACACACACGTGTTCTCACCCCCTGCAATACACACACGTGTCCAGACACGCTCCCAGCCCCACATTCCCCCCACTTTCACCCCACTCCGTTCCCAATTTTACCATGAGGAGGGCACGGGAACACGGTGATGGATGCTGTAGGGGGGGAATCCCTTCCGAACCCTTGGGATGCAGGCGGCCGAGTGGCAGCACCTCCGCTGCTGCCTCCTTTATATAGGGCTGGGGCAGGTGATGTACACACACCTGGAAACTCCAGCTCCGGAGCTCCTTCCTCCTCCCCGCAGGCTGTCATACTTCCTTCTCAATCCCGCGTGTTCCAGCCCGGAAATGGAGTCCCAGCATCCCTAAAATTGGTTGGAGGATGGATGGGAATGGAGAGGGGGGTGTGTGTGTGCGTGTGTGATAAGGCATGTATAGACGTGTAGGGAAAGGGGTGCTGACTGGTTTGGCTACCTATAATGGGTATGGAGTGATGTGGGAATGCGTGGTATGGGTTGCAGGGGGGCTGGTGGATGGGTACCCAGGGCATCCTGTGCCCACTGCAGCGGTACCCATCCACCAGCACCCCCCCATCTCTCCCATGACCCACAGGGACATGATCCCTGTGCCCCAGGCCATGGCCCCATTGCGTAAGAGCCACAGTGATATCACCATCACATCCCCAGAGTAGAAGTCCCAAATTGGGCAACACTGGAAAGGGCAGTGGCTTTGATTGCCCCCTCTGATGCTGCCCGGTCCAGCATCATCATCCTGCTTGATGCCAGGATGATGGTGCTGAGAAGAAAGGGGAGGATGCAGTGGGAGCTGGCCCAGGGATGAGCACAGGGTTGTTTCCCCTGGGTTGTTCCATAAGCAACCTCCTGCTGAACTAGGTCCACCAGGGAAAGGACTGGGGGTCAGGGCTCAGGCTTTATCCCTATAGGAGCCCAGTACAGTGCGAAAAACAGTACTGGGAAGCATCTGTGAAAGGTTTACAGGACCAGGCACAGCCACCCTTTGCTTTTTTACCAAAAGCATGGGGATTGCACCCATTTCAGCAGTTACCTTTAAGGTGCCACGCTGCCCAAGCAGACAGCACAAGGCACACAGCTGGGGACCCACAAAGGGCTGGATAAACCCAGAGGCATGCCCAGATTGCACCATGTGAAGCCCAGCCTGCAGAGGGGTTTATTACACTCCTACCATCCAATACCAGTGGGTACTGGCTCCATACTGGGAGCAAGGGCAGAACCTCCCATCACAACACACAGGGGGTATCCCCAAAACAGCTGGATAAACCCAGAAGCACCCCCAAATTTCACCAAGTGAAGCCCAGCCCAGAGAGAGGCCCCCCATCACCATCTAATACCAGTGGGATAGTGGTTCCATACTGGGTGAAGGGGCAGAGGACCCATGGGGTCCAGGGTACGTGTCACCTGCATCAAAAGGACACATGGCTCCCCCTAAGCAACATGGCAGCAATTCCAGCTCCATGGGGCTGCTCGTGGTGGCAGCAGAATCAATGCAACCATAGGGACATCATGACAAACTACATACCTCAAAGTTGGGGGGGGGCACATGTCCCCCAAGGCAAAGGAGTGAGTGGGAGGACAGAGAACAAGAAAAAGAAGAACTGGTTATCAAAATACTTTATTTCACGGAAATCCCTCAAAAAAAAAAAAAAAATAAAAGGGGGGGGGGGGGGGGGGGAAAATAAAAATCCAAGAGGAAAAGGACCCTCTCTGTTAGACAGACATACCCCCAACACTTTCAGGGCTTCTCCTGAATCAACTAAGACATTCTGCTGCTCAAAATAAGACAGGTCGTTTTCCCAATGAGACTTTAGTCAAGAATATATATATACTTTTGTTCCTGGAGGGGAAGGGCAGGGGAGAAGGTGATGTTGCCAGCAGTTCACAGCAGTTTTCAGCTCTCTCATTACACAGTATATAGAACTGCATTGCTGAAGACACTCAACACACAGCAGGGCTAACTAGGAGAATACAACTCAAGGCTAGCAGAGAGGAGAGAGGGCAGAGAGAATCAGAGGAAACAGTGAGAGCATCCAACGTGGGGGGAGGCTGGAGTCCTCTGTGCATAATTTACATGGGGCATCTCCTGGAGCAGATGTCTCTCGGTCGACAAAACTTCAATCTGGTTTTCATGGTTTTGGGGTTTCTTTTTTTGTGTGGGTTTGGTTGTTTTTTTTTTTTTTTTCCCTAAAAAGAATCGCAGCCAAAATAAGACAGAACTGCAAAATCCCCACGTGGCTGCTTTGACACTCATTATAAAAAGATCAACAGTCACCAGGGCTCTTCCCACTATACTTTCCCTGGGATTTTGGCCCGCTTGCGAGCGATGGCGTCTTCCACTGCCTTGAGCTGCTTGAGGAGCTCTTCCCGTCGGGACAGGGTGCTGGATTTGCCCGCTTTGGCACCCGTGGGGCCTGGCTCCGAGGCTTTTCCTGGTACACTTGTGACTTTGCTGGAGCTCTTGGACTGAGGTGAGAGCTGGCGCTTCCTGGAAGAGATTGGAGAGGGTGGTGAGAGGGAGCAGCACATCACGCTGGATACAAACCCCACTGCCATCTGCTCCAGTGGGAATCATCGCTCTAAGTGCCCGTGGAAGGAAACAGGGGTTGGAAAACTGGCTGAAACAGTAAAAGATCAATTTTTCCAAGGGGATCCCAAGATTTAAATCCAGCTCCCAAGGGCTGGGACAGCTTGTGGCTGTTGAGAGCAGCTCACTGGGGCTTTGTGCACAGGGACACAAGGGAAGAGGGGAAAGCAGCACAGGTTAAGTGCAGAGCAGCCCTGGAGCATCCCCATGGTGTCAAATCCCAGCAGCTCCTGCCCTAGTGTGGATGTGGCAGTTGTGGGGAGCACGCAGAGATGCACTCTGGGGCTGTGAGATGCTGCAGGAGTGTGGCTGAGCCCATGTGGGGAGGAAGGGAGCCACTAGTCCCTGCCACTGGCAGCAGTGGCTCTTCCTGGATTGGGTCATGACCGGGTTGGAGGCAATTGGCCTGTGGATTTTCCCACCATAAGCCACTACTTCCCCTCATCCTCATGGGGGAAGGAGGATGACAGGACCAGGAAGCACAAGCCTGCTGAGGTTTGGCAGCACCACCAGCTCGGTGACACACTTGAGAGCACAGTGTGGCCTTGGCTGGCTCTAATGACTTGGACCATTCGGGAAAGCACCAGTGCTGCTGCCAGATGTCAGCGGTGAGAGTCACCATCCCCTCTGTTAATGCCACCCTTTCACATTACACTTAAGACAAGTGTGGCTGTGCAAACATGACCCAAACAGCCCCAAGCAGAAACAAAACACAGACCTACCCCTGGGCTACCCTAGAGCATACCAATGTGTCCCTGACTACCTTGTGTCTGGGCAAAGGGAACACCAAACCCACCACACGACACTGCCAACCCAAACAGCAGTAGGCAGATGAGGGTCAATAACAAAGGATGAGGCCAACACCATGGTCTGGTAAAGCTGAGGTTTCTCTACATTGCTAGAAAACAGGACCTCAGGGCATGAAGGAGGACAGGGCTGTGGCAGCCGGGGACAGGTTTTGATTTGGGAAGGCTCTGATACACAGAAATTGAGGCTCACTTGTGCCCCAGGCTGGGAACAGGGGCATGGGGCAGGGACGCATCCCTTGGCTCACAGATCCTTGGAGAGATGACACTAGAGACATGCAAAGCAGCACTGCCTGGCTACGGGCAAGGAGGACTGAGGAAGCTTTAGGTGTGCCGCAGAGGGTGCTCCACAACTCTTTAGCCAAAGGGCTCTGAGTGCAGCACAGCCCAAAGCCCCTGGAGCCACACATCCAGTTTTGCAAAGGGATATTCCCAGCAGTGGGTGCAGGCCACCAAGAAATCCCACAGGAGGTGGACACCCATCACTGGAGGGAATGGGAAGGCGCAAAGCCAGGGCCAGTCACCACCCAGTCTCAAGCAGGGGCCACAATTTAACATCTCACAGCAGCAGAGTAAGCAGCTGAGGCTTTGCCAGGCTATGGAAAAGAGGGAATTGGGCACCTGAGCAATGTGCCACAAGAAGAGTGGCAGCAGGAGGATGGGGTTGTACTTTCTTCCTCATTAGCACTATGCAGTGCTAGCGAGAGGCAGAGGCACTGGCATGACTGAGCTTACAGCTTAGCCAGCTGGCTCCTCTTGCTGGGACTGACCTCAAGAAAACCCCCAGGCTCCTGCTCATTTCCGAGCTGGAACAGCTTAGCCAGTGGCTTCCACATGAACCCCTGGGCACCTCTGGCTCCCACCCAGGGAGCCTGGCGTCCTTCCTCTTGTTGTGCCTCCATGGCAACTGGAGGCTATGGCCAGAGAGCCTCAGAGGAGGGGTTGAGATGCTAGAGAAGCATGGGCCCCAGCCTGACCCATGAGAACAAGAGGGCACTGACCTGTCTGCCTGCGCAGGGGAAGGTTTCGTGTTCTGGCCTCTCTGTCGTTCTTGCTTGGGTGAAGAGAGTCTCCCAGTTGCCTTCCTGTCACGAGAGCCTATTGGGAAGAGAAAAGTTGAGAGGTTCCCACTCATCACCAAGGTACAGCTCCCTACCCAGCCTACTGCACCACCTCTCAGTGTACAGATGCTCTCTTCAGACTTACCAGACCATGCCAACAACAGGCCAAGTCCAGCAGCAGCCAGAAAACACACCTACCATTGTGCACCCTGTCTCCAGGGTAAGCAGGTAAGCTAGGCAGGGCTGTGCCCCATGGTCAGCTGTACAAAACAGCACCTGCAGGGAGCCACACTGTCCTCTCCTCACCCTCTGGCTGCTGGAACAAATCTGCTCCACGGTGCTTTTAGGCCATGCTTTGCTCTCAAACCTGCGGGGCAGGGTGGGCCCTTGCAGGCAGTCTGTGCTCCATTATCCAGTTTGTGCACAACGGGCACTGTGGCACCTGAGCTAGCTCCAGGCTGGCCAGCTAACAGGGTGTATTGGTTTAAAGAGTGATGGGTGGGTGAGCTATGCTACTTTTGGAGCCAGCAAACCCACAGGCAGCATTACCTGTGTGTGTTCAGCACAGACTGAACCATCATGCTCTGCCCAAATGGACTCAGCAGTGGTGGGAAGCCCATCAGGGTCCTGCAGCAGCATTACCTAGCTTTGCTGCAGTGGGTTTCCCAACCACTGCTATCCCAGTGCACAAAGAGGCAACCACTGGAAGGCAGCCCGATGCCTGCAGGGCTGTCCATGAGTCCCAGGGACAAGCTGAACAACACACCCTGCTGTACTGCACTGGGACAGTGATGCTGGTGGCTGCTAACCTCATATTCAGTAGCACTCCAGAGAGCAACGGTGCCCAGTTCCTCATTGCAGCACTGGCCACCTGTGTGTGCTAGGACAGCCCTCTGCTCCTAAAGACTGACACTGTGAGAAAGCCACAGACACTGCAGATCTGATCACAGCACAGTGACAGAACAGAGAAGTGAGACTCAGGGCACAAGCAGTTCAGCTTTTGCTGGGACACCAGTGCAAACCGCATGCTGCAGCATGCCTCTTGCTCAGTCCCAGTTCAGTCCAAGGGTACATTTGCCACTGGGAGGTGAGGCTGAGCTGCCTTCTGGGCTTGTGTCCCACTTGCTACTCCTTAGAGTGGTTTTATAACGTAGAGACAGCAAATAAAATTGTATAATTACATCTATACCTATGCATCTATAAAATCAACACAGTTTGCTAGGTCTGCCCCTTCATTTGTCTGCAGCTCAGCAGTAGTTGTGAACTAGAACCCAGTGAACTAAAACCTCACCCAGTCCCTTCCATGCTGCCTTTGCAGGAGTTGAATGCAACCAGGCTATTAGCACAGAAGTTTTTTCTGGCTGGTACCCAGAGTCAACAAGATACACCTACAGCCGAGACAACAGGGAAAACAACATCACGTGCCAATGCTGGCTTGTACGTCAACACCAGGCTGACAACTCCCCCCCCCACTTTGGTGTTTAGCAGTGACAGCAAAGGCTGGAGTGTGGCATTTAGGTCCCCCTCTTGACACGGCTCACTAGCTCAGTTTTCCAAGGTGCTCATTCTGCTGCTGACGATTCAGACCCAGGAGAAGACTTGGAAAGCCCGCTGTCTTTCTAAACATACAGGGCAGATCAGGTTTGTGTCACACACAGGTGGGGAAATCACCTCATTTCACAGGACAGGTGATTGAGCCAATTACTGCATCCATCCTGGAGCCTTGGCAGCCTGTGCTCCCTTTCTAAGCACTGCCACAAACCTTTCTATCAGGAAGACTGAGAGGCATAGAAAACTGGGATACAGTAAGGGAAAACCCTTTGACTTCCCCAGCCACATCCAATGATGTTACTAGAGAAGAGGAGGCTGCTGTGGGACAGATGCATCTAGTTACAGCAGAGATGAGCACACTGTGTCTTCAAAGTGAGGGCTTTCTTGTTTTTCTCTATGCAGTGGACTTACACAGACACAGTGGAGCCAAGGCACTCTCAATGTGCATCACAAGGCAGCTAGGCAAGGCCGGGTTTGGCTGCCCAGGGCTGACCTCACCTCGCTTACTTCACAAACCAGAGCGTCTCACCTGCACCGTGTTTTCACAGCAGGACAGCAAATACACCCGCGTTATCTGGTGGCAATCGCACACTCTGAGGTTTTGGAAGGACACATGCCTGCAATTAACCTCTCCAGAGCATGGACTCTTGCAGCACAGACTTTCACGGGTCATTTGTCGCATGAGCACCGCCTGGAGCGGTGGAGCAGGAACCCAGCCAGCCCAGGAGCCCCTGGGATGTCTCACCTCTGTCAGGCGACAGGTTTACCCGTTTGGCTGGAGGAGAGCTCGGCCTGTCTTTGTCTGTTGGCTCGTATCTCTTCCTGCTTCCTTTGTCAGCTGCCTGAAATGGAATTAAAACAGACAATGGAGCTGAGCAGCTACTTCCCTCTGGGGAGGAAAGCAGGCAGAGATATCTCCTGTGATGGGTGCCCGTGGTGTACTCGCTGGCTCATGCAAGCGTGTCTCCTATTAAACATTTTGTGCATACCAGCCCCAACCATCACTGGCACCATGTAATTCCCCTACCACCATAAGCAAATAAGCACCATTTTCTGGCACTGGGGCTATTTTCATAACGGTCAGAAAAATATCATCATTTTGCAGAGTTTTCTTTACTCCAGCAGCACCCAGAATAGCAAATGTCAAGGAGGCACGTGGAACTGTGCCTTACTTCTAGGATCCAACCCTGCCAGGCAGCAGTTATGTGTCATGGCACACTCCTCCCCATGCAGCATGCTTCACAGACTCGATAAACGCGCCTCACGTCATAGCACAGGGAAGTAGAGAAAACTGCAGCCTTAGACTGCAACGGGGAATTTGGACTGTCAGAAAAACAACATTAATGCTTCAACACCAGGAACCTACTCATGTGACTGGGGCCAACACCCTGCCCCAGCAACAAAACCCCAAGAGGCCAAACTCTCCCATATGATCTGGTTTGCAATCTCAGCCAAAGGCACTGATCTGGGGCATCAGGCTCAGTTGTAGGGGGGGAAAGAAGCAGGCTCCCTGCAGAAAGTGTGGGCAACCCATAGAGGAGAGGTAATTGCCACTTTTATCTCCTGACTCAGTTAATGACTTGTCAGCAGCTCGCTCCGGAGCGGGCAGTGGGAGGAGAGCTTGCTGGGAAGCATGCGGGAAGCATGCTTTCAGCAGGCACATGTGGGACTGCACCGCGCACGCCTTCGCCTCCGTGCTCCGGCTGCAGCCTTCAGGAGAGTGGGTAAGAGCCCTTAAAGCTGCAGCAGGAATGTGCCCCAGGGGAGCCGCCAACACAGTCCCAAACTGAAGCCACCACAGGGTGTGTGCTGCCAGACTGGTTCTGTCTGCCGCCCTTCAATCCCAGCTGCAGACCTACCCGGCTGAGCTCATCCCGACAGCGCGGAGCCTGGAGCATCAACCCTGCCAGCCCTGAGCTCCAGCATCCATCCCATCCGCTCCTCGGACCCCTGTGTGGAGGGAATCGCAGCCATCCCACCCCTCTCACCTTATTCAAGAGAGTCAGTTTGATCTCTTTGTGAGCGCTGAAGCCTCCCTGTTGAGACTGGGGGGCTGATGGCTGCTGGGTCTGGGGGAGCTGCTGCAATTTGCTTCCCTGGTTGGGCTTGGCTGACTTCAGGAGCTGACCAGGCACATCCCGTTTCCGCTTCTCCTCTTTAGTGCTATCTTCTTTTTTTGACTTTCCTGTTGAAACCAGAGAGCAAATGTAGTGACTTGTGACCGGTTTCCTTTTGCCTGACCTTCTTTAGGAGGGCAGGGCAAGAGGATGCTGCTCCAGGGACTGAAAAAGCCCACACCAGTTAGCACACTGTGTGGCCCCAAGGTTAAAAGATTCAGGAAACCAGAATTTCCACAGAGAGGACACTTAGAAAGACAAAGAACAAAAGGCTCTTCCTGCCAACTCTGCTACGGTCTAAAAAGAACAGAGGAGCAGCAACATGGTATTGGTGTTACGCAGAAGATTTAGCATCACCTTGCAAGGGTGAAAGAGTAGAAGGTAAGAAAGGGAGCATCAGGCAGAACTTCCAGGCAGGAAAAAGCATCTTTACAGCTAGAGACATGTGGATGGAAGGATGCAAATGTGTATTTGCTCCAAAGCCTCATCCTCCTCACATGAAGCCTCTGGGCTACCCTACTCTACGCCAGTCACAAAAGTCAGCCTCTGCTCACCAATCTTTTCAGAGCCTGTAGTAACCCAACAGAAGCCATATCCAGATCTCTGTTCCCCTCCCTTCTTTTCCCAGGACCGCTCATATAAGAAAATCCCAAACCAGGAACCTCTACCTTTCCTCTGCTGTGCTGGGGTTGGGGATCGAGAGCTGGCTGAGGAGACAGGACTGGCCAAGTCTGCGTACATGTCTTCGGAGTCGGCGCTGCGTACAGAGCTGCTGCTGGAGGAGGCACTAGAGACAGAAGAAACGCTGCTCACGCTCAGGGACCTGCAAAAAGCCAACAGCCCGTTACAAATGCAACAAGAACCAGGCAGTGATGAGGCAGACATCTTCATCTCAATTGCCCTGCATTGCTAGGATGTCAGAAAGCTGCTAAGGCAGGCAATGATCAGGGAGAGACAAAGGCTGTGCCTCCTGGGGTGCAGACGATGAGAGACATGCCAAATGTGTTAGGTGCAAACCTAGAAAGTACTGTTTATTTATAAACAGGATTAAGGCAATATATAAACAGGTCACTGTTTCCTCAAGTAAACAAAAAGTGAAAGCAGGGTGTGCACTGTTATACACAGGTCAGTATTATGGCTCAGGTCAAGGGTTCTCTGGCAATGTTTTTGTTGTTTGGCACACGTTTATTCATGGAGGCTGGCTTTAAGAGCCCTGGAATCCTACAGCCACAGCTCCTGCCCAGCTCCCCAGGGTACAGGAGAGCCCAGCTGCCTGTTTTGAGGATGCACATAAAGTCATAACTGATAATGACAGGGGAGATGCTTTTAAGATGGCTATCTTCTAATAGTGTGTATAAGATGGCTATCTTCTTATGGATTCACAACGTTGTGCCAGACAACTATCATATTAAAGAAGAATTTCTGTTTAGAAATGTAACAGGCAAAAATACAGGGCTATGCATCAGACAGACTTCCCTTCAGGGGCACACCACCACCACAGCTTTGCTATATTGAAGCGACTCCAACAATCCCAGCTACCTGGGGTTGCCACCATTGTGCAGGACCAGGTGTATTTCATCTACATGAATATTCAGGCAGCCTCTCCAGCAGGTTCTGCAGGCCACACAGACTTCTGTGCTCCAGACAGCCCTAACAGCAGGGTCCGAGATCATTCATTGGAGCAGGCTTGGGAATGACTGAACGGGCTGCAGCAGCTTCAGCATGGATAGCTCTGGAAGGAGCTGCAAAGTCTCTACCTGCTGGCATCATGACAGACAGCAGCAGCCTTCCAGAACCCAAAGGGGCTACAAGAAAGCTGCAGAGGAGCTCTGGACAAGGGCCTGTGGGGACAGGCCAAGGAGAATGGCTTTAACCTGCCCGAGGGGAGACTGAGATGAGCTCTTAGGCAGAAGCTCTTCCCTGTGAGGGTGCCCAGAGAAGCTGTGGCTGCCCCATCCCTGGCAGTGTTCAAGGCCAGGTTGGACACAGGGGCTTGGAGCAAGCTGCTCCAGTGGAAGGGGTCCCTGCCCATGGCAGGGGTTGGAGCTGGATGAGCTTTAAGGTTCCTTCCAACCCAAACCACTCAACCATCAAAAGATTCCATGACTGTTGCAATGGCAACTGGATGGGCCAGAAACTCCTTCTCCAGGACAGCTCCTGGCTATGAGGTTGTGACAGCAAATCTGGTTTGGGCATACACCATTTCCCCCTTTCCCACACACCTGAAGAAGCAGCAAGCACAGTCCCAGGGCCACACAAAGAACACCTGCAGTGAGTTTTGCCATCTTCTCCTCTCAAGCCCAGCGCAGTGCAGAGCCAGCGCACATGAGCGCTCTCTGAACCTCTTGCATCACCCCTGCCCGATCTGATGAACGCGACAAGCATGTAGTAAACAAGTTTGTATTTCCGTAAAATAACACGGATGTTAAACCTTGGAGTTTCACAGAGTTCAGACATGTGAATTACTGCTGGTCAGAGTCAAAGTCCTACTTAATCCACTAGTTTTACACTACAGGTCTACCGTGTCACAGGGAAGTGGTGTGTTTCAAGGCTGCCTGTGAGGTTTCAGGGATTTCTGTGTGTGAAGGGATGCAAAACAGATGAATGAAGGACTTGAAAGAGGTTTATTTCATCACTCTTTACTGGAGGGAGTTAGCTGTTTACAAATCCCACAGACTAACAGCCATGTAACTATTCACTTGGGGCTAAACACAAAGGGAACTGGCCATGCAACTTTGCCAGCGAAGTAAAAATATCATTAGCTGGGCCTTTTAGGTATTTTCTGACTTGCCTCTTCTGACAGGCCAAGCATCTTCCCTAAGGACATTCAGTAATCAGAGGTAGCAGAGGTTTAGAAGAGCAAAGCTCCATAGCCTGAAACTGTTAACTGCTAAGTAAATTAGGATGTGGGATCACCCGTGGCTATAAGGAGGTATTTTGTTTATAATTTAAGTAAAAAAAATGGACAGCTTGGTACACATGGTAGATTATTTCCTTGAATAAGGCACAAGGACGCTACCAATGTCATACTACTGTCATGATTCAGGACTTTGGATTTGTAACACCACACAAACAATCTTGTTTCACATCCTATTTACCTACAGCTTCTGATACTTGAAGCTACTAAGAGCTTTTGCTGTGAAAACCACAACAGTGAACAACAGTTATAATCTCCTCCTACTTCAACAAAGGTTGTGAAGGATCAAGGCTGTACCTGGACTTCCTGGACCCAGACGGAGAATGGGAGACTGAGGCAGATGATGATCTGGAATGAGATCTGGAGAGAGACCGAGACAAGGACCTAGATCGGGAACTGGAACCGCTGTAGCTGCTGGCACTGCCACTGATGCTGCCGCTGATGGTCCGCCTGCAAGACAGCAAATGGCATCCTCACCTTGCTGTGCTGTCATGAAATGGTGTTGGGAGGAAGTGCTGAAGGACAGTTTGAACATGATGCTGTAGTCCTGTACTACACATGAGATCAGTGCTTTGGATGTGTAATTGTTTCAGATGTTCTTCTCAACCTTTGAAGTCCTGAGGAAGCATCTGTTTTCTGAACAGCAGGTGTTTTATGCAAGACTGAATAATGCTAATGAAAGCCAGGCACAGAATGATCTCAAGTAACTTAATCCCGTACTGATACCAGGAGCAAATGCTTCCTACTGAGAGAAATTGCTAACTGCAACTACACAGCGGTACTACCTTGTATTTCAGGCTTTACAAATAATCATACCCATTTTTTGTGACTAACACACCAGTACTAAGATAAACAGAGCTGTAGGCTTTTGCACAGCAGGGAGATTAGAGGACACTGGAGTTTGTGTGGGTATAAGCACGGAAAAACAAGATCCCAAACCCCATGACTGGAATAAAGAATAAAGATATCCAACATTATTATTAACCAGTTAAAGTGAAATGGGAACTAGAACTAATGGAGTTTCTAGAGAAAATAATTTGTTGTGATCTGTTTTCACCTATGGACACATAACTGCTCAGAGGCCAAGCCTCTGGCTACTGGGAAGAAATGGGAGATGTAATCCTGCACAAAATGAAGAACTGACTCAGAATGCTTCTGAAAACCTTAGTGGAAACAGTATTTCCAGCCATCTTCAAAACACACTGACACATTCATGATGGAAAACTCCATTCTAGAAAAAGCATATATGCCTTACTGCAGTAATAACACGTTATCAGTCTCCTTGTGTGCCCATAAACCAGGCATTTGTAATATATACACTTCTTATGCACCGAATCTTTGGTTCCATAGACTAGACACATAGTCTATTCAAATACAGTACAATGGATTAAGGCCAATAAGCATGTTTAAATACAGACAAGTGCTCTCGCTTGAAACAAATCAGAAGTCTCTCTCATTTCAAATGCAAAGGGAGAAGAAAGGCAACAGAAACGGTTAAGAGGACGGACAGACAGAACAGGACACGTGAAGCATTCAACCTAGTCACACAGGATGAAGCTAGGAAGACAAAGCAGAGCCAGCAAGTTCTCTATGGGGGTGAATGAAAGTAGTGGACTTTTCCCTCCTGTCCTGCAGTAGTTCTACTGAGTGCTGATGGATGAGTGCTGATGAACCAGCTCCCAGGACCACGCAAATACTCCCTGCACACTGGCAGACATTGAGTAAATGGTCCAAACCCATTGCCACAAAGCTCACCACTCCAACACATCAGGTCTGCTCTCTGGACCAAACACGCCCCTCCTTCCTTGCTGCATGGCCTCTGCAACCAGTGGCTCTGAAACATGCCTTTTTTTGCACTGCAGACCCTACTTTTTGACACATTTAATGTATTCCACCTACTTCATTCCCCAACCAGCCTTCAGAGGCAGGAGCCATTCGCTGTGGCTAGTCACTAGCATCACCCCCAATTCCTTCCCTCTCTCCCCATTTCCTTCCTGCCCCAGGAAACAGATTTCTCCTTTAATACTGAAAAGCCCTTGCAGTCGGAGACACCTGAGAGAACCCCAGGATTTGCTGTATCTACTTGGAGAGCAAGCCTCACTCCACCCCACAGCTTTCTTACCTCCTGGGTGGAGTCCTGGTCTGACGTTCCTTCCTTCTTGCCTCTCGATTATCCCCGGGTTTGGCTGGCTCAGGTGCAGCTGTTGTAATTTTAGTGAGTGGCTGAAGGACTGGAAGGGCAGCTAGTTTCTTCACAGATTTTTCACTACAAAAGGAACGTTTTCATGATTTTGTCATCAAAATCCGTAGGTACAGACCACAGATGTTCTCAAAAAGTGATGAAATGCACTCGTGTTTGTTGATGACTGAATGTTATACAGGTTACTGTAGCTACAGACACTTGCTGCATCACCAAACTACACTCAACGCAGATCCCCCTAAAGGGATCCATTTCCCACATTCTAAATCAAGTCACCTTTTCAGACATAAGTTACTTTACAACAGCCAGTTTTGGAGACATTTGACTTGTAATTAACTGCTGAAGTAGACCATGTGGAATCACTGTTTCTTATCTGTTTGACTGTGCATTTTTATCCAAAACACATACACCTACTTAAAATCTGCCAGTCATGTTTCAGAATCAAACACAGTTTATGCAGAAATCCTCTTTTTCACTCTCTTACAAAGATCAGGGTACAAAAGAGCCTGTGTATGCAGATGGATCCCATAGGACCCATCCTTGGCTTGAGTTTCCCTGTGGAATGCTTGGTGGGTAACACCACTGCACAGGACCGCTACACACTGTTTTGAGACTTTATCTACCCTCCACTATGTGAGTTGTGCTTTGGCTCTTCAGCACTGCTCAATTCTGGGCTCAGAGCACTCCAATCTCTGCTCTAATAGCTGGTTACTCCTCAACATCCCCAGCACTGATGTCACACCTAGTATTAAGTGGGGAGGCGGCAGCCGTCTGCATACAAAAATAGAGACTGTTAATTCCTCCTCTTGTGCTTAAGGGTATCTGTGTTTATTCCCTGCAGAACACAGGATTAAGCACATGCAGTGTTATGCAGCGAAAACAATCCCCATACTAGTGCAGGTTGGCTGGTATCGTGTGTCACCAAACCAGCACTGCAATATGCACCAGAAGGGTGTAAAGACATCGCTGCAGGCAGAGAGCATGTCCTGAAAGGGTTGAACCCTCTGAATTGAGAAGGAAAAAACAACAAAGGAAGGTCAATTAGGTACAAGAAGTGTGGCAAAGGGGATTGTCCTGTATTCTGGAGAATTCAGGGGCATTCCCATGGTGTAATCTATTTGCAGGTCACCTTGAAAGAGGTGACATCACTATGGTGTTGTGTCACCACCAACGTATCCATAATTTACTATGTATTACAGGAGTTTGTGAAATAACAGCTTCAAGTATTTAAAAGAGCGGGAGTGCTAGGATAATCTGCCAAAAACAGTTTCACCCCTACAGTACTGCTTTAATTTGTCATCAATGTGACAAATGTAAAAGTAGATGAAGCTGAACCCTTTCTTTATTCCAAGGCTGTACATTAACTAAAGCCACAGTACAGGAATGAACTAAACTTTCTTATAGCTCCTGTGTAAACATATCTGTGCATACAGAATGTTTGAGTAATAAATCATGCATGTGTTTAAACACTCACGTATACATATAACACTTAAGGTTACTTGTACAGTTGGATTTAATAAGTAAAAGTGTCATCTTTTAATTAAATATGCAAAGCTAAGCGCTCTTCTAGACAGGTCATATTTTCCACCTTCTGTTTCTTCCTTAAGCTGTCAACCAGGCCGGAAGGGTCTGACTCAGGGACTGGGCTCCTGTTTGGAGCTTCTTCTGCACTGCTCTACCAGAATCGAGATGAAGCCTTACCCTTTCCCAGCAGGTGGTAATAAATCCCCTTTAGCCTTCCCAAGTGGCTTGTGTGGAGATGGTGTTGGAGAAGGAGAGGGTGAAGATGAGAAGGACCGTGACCTAGAAAGAAAGGACACATCGATCTCTGTGACTGGAGACAGCTTTTGGTGCACTCAGCCATCACCCCCTCCTTTGGCTAGAGACTGCATTCCAGGACCTAGTTCCTGTGGGTCTGAGGTTATCCTAGTTTTATATTTGGATTCTGTTCAACAGAACTAACTTCTGTCACCAGAACAGTGGCAAAAGTAGAAAACAAAAGTCAAAAATAGGGTTGACTGCAAGAGAGGCACTCAGATATTCCATACCAACACCCGAGGCTTTCTCCATACTCTCTGTATTCTCTTCTGAGGAAGAAATAAAGGGAAAACAAGTAGGATTTTGACTTGCAATTTCAGCATGATTTGTTTTGACCTCCGTTATATTCCTGTAACTCCATGTACAGTTTACCCTTTAAACCGCAGAGAAAAAGAAAACTCTCGAGAGAAAGACAATAATACATCTAACTGGGTATCCACAACTTCTGGAACACAAAGGGGTTAAAAAAAACCCCAAACAAGCAGAGTATATCAAAGCCAACAGATCAAAGGGCAAAGGCTGTTTCCCAAGATCAGGACTGACCAAAGAAGCAAGTCACTTACACAGCTCACCAGATGCTGGCGTTGGAGTGATTCATCCCACCACCAAGGCTGGAAGTACCCTTGCTGCAGCCTAGTACTTCAGAAAGCCAGACACCTCGGCAATTTGCCTTCTGAAGAACAGTTAGGGTGTTCCTCACTCTCCTGCCTTCCCACAGAGGCATCTAACTGGAGTGTCACCTCTGCCTGGTGCTGTCCTGCCAAGGGATGTGGTGGATGGGGGAAGGCCAGCCTGCTCCCCAGAAACACTATGTGCTTGCATCAAGATAATTCCCACCTGAGCCTTTCCTGGGAGAAACCACATCTCCAACACTGACATCAACTGTGTGATCCACTCTGGGCATCTGTGTGATTTCAGCTCTGAAGAGGTGCCTAAGGAGCCAGTTCTCCCACTATGCATATTCCAGACTTACAGTCTGCAGGGGCAAGGAAGTGGCACAGCAATAAACGAGCCTTTAATCAGCATGGGACACTGAACTGCTACTTTGAAGTATAAAGACTATTACAAGACACAACTGCTTTAATAAAGAAACATGATTTGCCTCTTTAAACAGAAATTCCAGTGCAATAGAGAAGAGATACCGGTAACTTCTTCCAATCATAAAATGCAAATGATGGAAAAGTTCATCTCAGCCAGGCTCTACAATTGCTCAGCTACCACAGGCATGGGAAAGAACCTAGCCACAACAGCACAGTGGGTGGGAGCACTGGGGCGAGAAGGGGGTGGCTGATGTATGTGCTTCATTCAACAACAAAATCAGCAGGCTGCCTTGCAGTCTGTTGTATTTCCCTCACTCACAAAAGTGGTTTGAGTGTCTTATTTCAAGATTTGGCTATTTGCTTTTAAGCAGCAGCACAAGCAGCTCTTAGCAAGTGTCTGGAAAGCCGTAAATCATTACTTCCACATCCAAGGAGTCATTACCTGGACCTGCTGCCTGAGAAAGAGCTGTGTCTTGAAGAGCGACTAGAGTAAGAGCTGTAAGACGATGATCTGGAACGAGATCGTGAGGAACCTGAACCAGAATAGGTGGATGAACGAGAAGAGGACCTGAAAGAAACATATTAGATTAAAAGCCTATCAAGAAGTCTACTGAGACCAAGGTCTTGTTTCCTGTTTGCTCTTCCAAAGTTCTCAAACACTGCTCCAAAACCTACTTGACTTATCCACAGTGACCTGTCAGGACTACAGCTTCTCCTTCATCCACCCTTTCCTTTTAGCTGTTGCTACCATCTTTGTGCTCTCAAACAGGCCTCCCCTCCCTTAGCTACTGATTTTCCATCCCTCTTCAGGAACTCCTTCCACACATTTTCATGCCTTCACACCTGACGATCCCCTGATAGGTTAGGTCACACAGGAGATAACAGAAAAATCTCAGGTGCAGTGATCCCAGCAAGAAAAGCTATCTGCTTCAGGAGGGCTTTGGTTTTTAGATTCATATCTTCAACTCAGCATGTTCCTCATTCCTCTCTGATACGTTTCCCCCCCCTCTTCAGGAGCTTCAAGCTCAAGCATTTAAAGAAAATGCATCCAGCTTATGCCTCAACTCCCCTAAATTCAGGATGCTTCTTCCTGAAAGGTGGATTTCCCTTAAGTTTACACCCGTTGGTTTCCAAGCACCACTTCAGCCCTCTAAAGCTGTGTTGAGCCTCCACAACCCCAGTTTCCCCCTAGTAGCATCAGTCTGCCCTTCCTGGGCTCCCCTCATCTCCCAAGCACTCCTGGAGCAAACAGGCTCCAATGTTTACAGCTTCCAGCTTTTTCTGCTCCTACTAAGGTCAGTTGTCATCTAGATGAGTTACTCATCTTGTGGTCTGCAACGAGGTCTAGTTTATCTGAAGAGTGACTTTTCCAAGGACTTTTCTTAGTCTTCAACAGGTCACAACAGAGCACCCACAGTTAAATACTCCCCTTGACTTCCATCTCACTACCTATATATGCTGGTCTTCACAGCTGCTACTAAGAGTCTTAAACTGCTTTCCCAAACATCTAAACACCTTCCACTGACAAGAAAGCACCGCACTGCATTCCCTTACACATTAACACAGCTTGGATGCGACATGCTCTTTGCCTTCACTCACCTTGAGGAGCCAGAAGCAGACCCTGAAGAAGCAGAGGTTTTTCGGCGCCTGCGTGCACGGCTGGGAGACACAGACACACCAAGCTTCTTTTTGGGAGACTTTGATCGGCGCCAGGGGTCCTTCCATTCATCTGCTCTCTTCGACTGAGTGGTGGTAATTGTGGTTGCCTCCTTCTCCTTCTTTGGTGGCTCTGGTTGACGGCTGGAAAGCAGACAGAAGCAGATAGGATTAATTCATATATATATATATATATAATATATATGTGTGTGTGTGTGTATGTGTATAAAGGCTAATAGAAACACAGGACCAGGAAAACATCTCAGAAATCCATCATTTATAACAATACTATCTCTTAACCTCCACTGTGAGATATTCAGCATCACTTTGGAGTGATGACATGTTACAGCAGCTATCATTTTGTCAATCAATGACTGCAAGCCCATCAAAACAGCACTACCTGTGAGTTTTATCAACTACTTTGTTGTACTGACCAAGCAGCAACCTGCCAGCTGATTTCAGCTTTGGTTTTTGGCCTCCACAGAGTGGGCAGAAACAGACGTAAGAGGGAATGGAATAGGAAATCTGGTTCTTCCTACACTTATGTCAAGTTGCTACAGCTGGAGCAACCCAAACCTGGTAGGCAGCTGCTGAAAATACTACACAGAGGTAGACTAAGGACATCAAGCGTGCATCTGAAACACTGCCTCGATACAGCAAACTGCTGGAAACAACTAGTAGGCATTAAGAAAAGAGATTCAGCCTCAGTCACGCTCCTACAGTTCTCTCATCAGAACATCATGTGGGCCTGTGTCACAAGTCCACAGCCAAGACACATCCATCTGTTTTTACCCTTACAAAGGGGATGGTTACCTCACCAACTAAGCATAAAGTAGTTCATAATGGCTGTTTTATCACCCTATTATTCTTTAAGTGCTTACAAACACCATTGAACATGTGCTCTGTTGTTGATAACTATGATATTAGATACCCTCCATCTCCTCCCTTGCCTTTCAAGGGCTCTACTTCTATTTCCTCTTTTGCTTTGGTTGCCCGGGGTTCCCTTCTCCCCTACAACCATTTGAGAATAGTTCAGGGCTAACTTTTCAGCACCTGCATCGGATACTTCAAGTATTCCAGGATGAGTTAAATTTCTTCCGGCCTAGACTTTATTACCTCTCTTATCTATGGGTGATAAAACCTGGGATTTTTCCTTGCCCTCACTCTAACCTGCATATGACTGTTAGATTACCTGCTTATAACCTTTCCTCTTGGGTTTTAAGCAAAGCTTGTTCTTGCTGAAAGGTTTATGGGCTCCTGTGCTCATCAAATTATCAGTAATAGCGCCTTTATTCCTTTTCTCAAAACAATGAGATCTCTGAGGATTTGGGGGAGGAAAGGCACCTTCCATCGCTGGGTTCAGCCAGTACCACCCCATTAGTCACAGGACTGAAGCAACCACTCCCCACACAACTTCCTCTACCTTTTCAGATAAAAAGCAACCTCCAAGTTTTCTAATAATCCTATGGACAGAGTTTCTTGCCACAATACTTTTTCAACAGCAACAGGATAATTAGAGCTCTTCATCAGCAGCCCTTTGAAGGCTACACTAGTCACTAACAAGTTTCATCTGCTCCTCACTTGGCTGTATTAAAACACAGTTAGAACTCTTATGGCCTCTCACCTCTTCCAGAACTTGTACATGCTGACTTTAAAGTCCAGCACAGCATCTTACTCCTTCCCTATGTTGCTGATTAAGTCCAGCAATTTCTCCCATATCCATCTCAGTATATACAGAGTTTTACGGGAGGACAAACTCTTCTTTCACATTCACCTCTCCCACACATCTCATTCCAGCTTCAGAACAGGTCACTTACGTATTAGCAACACAAAATTGCTGTCTAGTGAGAGAGTCCCAAGCAGGCTTATGGGTCAGCATTATTCACTAGCATCTTCACTCAGCATGATCATCCTTTCTAGTGCTGCTCTAATGCACGCTATTTAGCACAGCACATAGTCATCTGCAGTAGACTGGTCTAGGTTTAAATATTACAGCCACAACTGTATCTGAGTATCTAATCACAGAGGAAGACCATGACCCTGAATATGGGGTTGAGATAAACTGGACTTATTATTTATACTCTGATAACACTTAAGTATTTGTAGCCAGGGTGAAGCTCTCCTTCCAGCAGATGTAATACAAACTCATTTTGAAGCCATCTTGACCTTTAGAGTACCATCAAAATAACTAAGTGTGAATCAGGAGATAAGAAGAAGGCTGGGAACAGTCAACACAGAATCACAGACTGGTTTGGGTTGGAAGGGACCTTAAAGCTTATCTAGCTCAGACCTCCTGCCATGGGCAGGGACACCTTCCACTAGAGCAGCTTGCTCCAAGCCCCATCAACATGGCCTTGAACACTGCCAGGGATGGGGCAGCCACAGCTTTTCCAGCATCAAGAACAGCAGAATGGAGGAAGAGAAACACCATGCAAGGAGGAATAACACTAGATTGTCTCCCGCTCCGATTTGCTTCCCAAGGGACCACAGTCTGCATGCTTTGGGACATTCAGGGGGAAAATTCTGTTGGCACAGGCAGTGTCCATCTCAATACCCGGATAAAGCCTGCTGAGAAGCTTTTCACTGCAGTGTCCAATGTGATACATGTGAAAGCCAACAAAAACCCTTGCCCCTCTCTCCAACAATAGTTTTCAGACAGAAAACTCTCCAACCAAACTTATTCTGTGTCTCTCTCACAAAAGCCCCCAACTTGCCCAATTCACATACAACACCAGCTGTACCTCAGCTCCAACCCCACGTGGGAACAACTTAGGCTGAACAATACAACCTGGGCGCGAGCTTGGAGCAAAGATGACTAGGAAAGCAAATCTCATTACTTGCACCTATTACCTGGTTTGATGCAATTCTCTCTCGATGAAGTCACTTTCTGGAGGAAAGGTTTTTACCCCAGGAAAACCACAACAGAAAGCCTCGTTTCTGGTTATGCTTTGGCTTTTTGACTCAGCAGTAAATATGTTACCATATGACAGCCAAGAAAGAAAGATGATGCTCGTGTCAGGACATTTTCAAAGTCTTTCCTCAAGAGCTCCCTGCGTGCCCAACGTGTAGCATCACCAAACAAACTTGTTCAACTTAACACAATGACTGCTATCTGATGCCATTTGGCTCGTCTCCCCCAGTGGAATTCAGGAGTCAGAACTGACAGTGAACTGGAGCAACTGCCAAGATCCTCACCATCCACCTTAGACTAACATCTCAGTTACAGCCTCTGTGAGTTTCACCAGAGAGACTGTTAGAGGCTGGCAGCCCACAGTCGTCAGTGTTCCAAATCACATTTACTGCCACACACTGATACCAGGCAGTTGCTGGGGTGAAAGTGGAGGAAGCCTTAAGGCCTGTAAGGAAAGCTCATCGGAAAGAGGCAGCAGTTACCAGCCTGTGGCTCCCGGCCCAGACCAGGCAGGAAGGCTGCCCAGAGCTATGCTGAATGCAATAGTTGCTCTGCATGCTTCATGCTGGGTGGGTTGAGCGATGTGTTTGATCCCAAGAAGCAGGAGGCTTCCTCCTCACTTTCACTCTTACAACTGATTTTTCTCCTTCCTGTCTTGTGCTGGATCTGGCTCTGTCTGGAGCTCTCCTGGCGCCAACTCAACTCCTTAATTCAACAGAAAGAGGAACAAAACGAAAGCAATTTGCTGCAAATCCAACCAGTAGGGTTTGAACAAAGGCAGGAACTGACTCATGATGAACAGAGGAGGGAAAGGAGAGAAAAAGCTCGACTGCTTCATGGTGGTGAGCTTGGAGATCAGCTCACAGTGCTTCAAATGAGCTTATCCTCAACCCAGCAGAATTACCCAGGCTGGTGCTGGAGGCAAACCCAATGCATAAAGTGTGGCTGGCAAAGGCTACCAAAACATGTGTGTGAATCCTGGTCTCTTTTTCCACCAAATTTTTGGGAAACATCTCAAATATTTAAGAATTAACATCCTAATTAGGTAAACCCATGCCATGAGGCTTTAAAAATCAAATGAATTAGAGAGGGAGTAAGAGACTGACAAGACAGACTGATCAAAAGCACCTTAATTTCCTTGCAGAGCCCTGAGGAGCTGCATCCTGCGTCACCAGGGCACGAGCAAGGTCTGCAGAGCGTAGCTATTTCCGAAGCCCATTTTAACCTTAAAAATAACTAAATGCTTTATTTTCCAGAACGAACACGTTAATGCATATTTGGCTCGAATTTAATTACAGCAATCAAGCGGAGAACTGAAGCTGAACGTGGCTTTGGCAACGAGAGGAGGAACAAAGGCAGCTCCAGCTGGCAAGGCAAACCACAGCGTAGGTCAGCCAGCTCCCAACTGCACGCGCTCAGGCTCCCAAATAAACCCTGGTTGAAGCACGTCACTGAATTCAACAAGGACGTGGAGGCAAAGGGGGAAGAGCGGAGCTGCACGGCTCAAGTTTTCCTCCTCGTGTACTTGTGTGAATGACACCAAAGCATTTCTAATCTTAGAGGGGGAAAACAAGCTTCCTGGGGAAAGTGGCTCCTTTCTTCCCCCTCCCCGTGGGACACGGCTCCCACAGGTAACGCAAACCTTATCACCCACGGTGGAGGGTGACGTCAGGCTGGCTCCGGGGCTACTGTTTTGGCCAGCAGTTACACAGCTCGGTTTTCTGAGGGAGGAAAGTTCAGTGATGACTTAAAAGCTGTTTGGTTTCTTGCAGGAAAGCGTTGCGTCAGCACCCGCAGCTTCCCTGTGCTGTCAGTGGAATTTTCCAGAGGAAGCGGACTCGAGGAATGACCGGATCCATGTGCCCAAGCAGCTGCAAAGGGACCTGCAATCACTGCAAGATAAACCCCAGCAGTGTCCAGTGTCCATGGCACAGTAAAAGCACTTACACTGAGATGGACAAGAGCTCCCAAAACCCACCTATGTGGAGCTACGATGGGAAATGCTGAACCTTGGAGCCGGTGCCAACTGATGCTGGGGAAGCATTAGCAGAGAATATGCTTTTCTCAAGATGTTTCAATCTAAAAGAGTTATCAGTTGCTTAAAAAAAAAAAAAAAAAAAGAAAGATTTCTTCAAAGCCAGATGGGGAGAGGCTTTGAAATTAAATAGTGGAGATACAATCTGAACCTGCAGTATGAAATCATCACAGCAGGTAGATAAACATATCCCAGATG